GCTTTGCTGGGCGCGGGCTGACGGGAAGGGGTTAAGACCCTGACAGGGGTCTCCGCGCTCCTGCCTCCCGAGCCCCCTGGGACACGCCGGGCGCGTCACCTCTGCGCTCCCGGGGGCTCGCACACCCGCTCCGAGCCCGCCTGAATGACGGCCCCGCCGGCGGCAGAGCGCAGCATCCCCGCGCCGGCCAATCAGGCGCGCGCAGGCCGGGAGGCGGTGAGATCATCTCTGGCCAATAGCAGTGCGCGGAGCGCGGGCATGCTGCATTCGCACCCCAGCCCCCCAAACTCCTGGGAGCCGGCGACCCCCGGGTCGAGGGTGTAGGCGGAGGGTTCCCCGCCCTCGGGTGTGTGGGAGGGCCAGGGGGACCCCCAAACTCTCTCTGCCCGTTGGTGAGGGCTGGCAGCTCCCAGTGCCCTTTCACCCGGACCCGGGCCCAGCGAGGGAAGTGACTGGCTCAAGGTCACTCAGAGGCCGCGTCCTGGGGCTGGGGGTCTCAGCACGCGGCTGTCTCCCCCGCTAGCTCCAGCCTCCGAACGGGGACATTCTCGGAGAAAACAGGCGAGTGGGGTCCTATTTCCCTGCGCCTGCCTCTCTCCCCTTCTGGGAGTCTGGTGTGATGTGAGGATGGGGCCGTAGGCTGGTGGCCGCGGCGCAGGGTGCCAGGGCCGGAGCCCAGGGACCCCCGTGGAGAAGTGGTATCCAAGAGGGCCAGTCCCGCCAAGCCCCTGGCGGCTCTTGCACACTGGCATTCTCTCGCGTGGGCAGCACGTGTACAGAATTCCCAGCCCCAGCTTCCCCCCACCCCTGCGCACCTGTACAAGCCCCCTACGCCGGCCGTCTCTGCCCACAGCCCCTCGGGCTCCTCTAGGGTCCGATCTTCATGGCCCCACCCAGCTCAGGGAGACAGCCAGCGTCTTCCAGGATCTCGACCTGGCGCCCTCTCTTCCCCCTCCACCTTCTACCCCAAGCCTGGTCAGTGGCCATCTAAGCACGCCTTCCCTCACTCCCTGTCCCCACGCCCAGCCCCGCCCCACCTTGCCATCACCTGGAAAACACTAGGCCCCTCCCCAGCAGCAGACGGAACCTGCCCCAACACTTAAGAGCCCTCTGTGCTCTGCGGTGGCCGCTGGGTAAACCCCAGCTCCGGAGACAGCCTCCCACCCCTGCCGCACCTGCCCCAGCCCCCGCAGGGCATCTGCACCCTCTCCTCTGCCAGCGCTCGCCTCTGCCCCAGAGCCTCTTCCCTGCCCACCTGTCCCCTTCCTGCCCTCCGGGAACAGCGCCTTCTCAGAGCGTGATTCCCAAGAGCCTGGCCCCTAACTGGGGCTGGAGGGGCCACTGTTGGCCCTGCCTGTCCCCCACCCCAGGAATGTTCTGCTTGGCCCCAGTGCAGGATCAGAGCGGGAGCGGAGTCAGTTAGATGATGGCGTCGGAGACGCTAGAGCGCTCTGAAACTTGGAAGCCTGGTGGCCTGGGCCGTGTGGATCTGGGTAAATCGAGGCAGCGTGGGAGTGGAGGGGTGCAGAGTGGATGCACAGAGCCAGATCTGAGGTCTGCGGAGGAGGCAAGGGGTAGACCCTGGGGAGAGACCCGCCGGGGAGGGAGCCAGGCCCGTGGCTACCCTGCCGACCAGCTCTGGGATCTGTGTGTGCAGCAGCCGAGGTGGGGCCTGGAGTGGGGGCAGGAAGGGAGGCAGAGATGTGGCTCACTGCGGGCCAGGCCTGTCATCGTCTCCGATTCACTGAGAAAGCAGCTGAGGCCCGGGACTCACTGGCCCAGCCAGGACGGGGCTGGGTCTTGTGGTAGGGGCTCCCTGAAGACCCCTGGGACAAGTCAGTCTCAGGGCGCAGTGACCAGGCAGCGGCTGGGTCCCCTTTGGGCAGGCTGAAGGGGGCGGTCCTGGGCATTACCCCAGGGCGTGGCCTAGAGATCCTTGCTGGGCCACGTTTCCCATCTGGCCAGGATTGCAAGGGGGTGGGGCCTTTGCCGATGTCCCTCTGGGAGGCTTCCTTCCCTGAGACCACCGGGAAGTTTCCTTGTCTCTCCAGCCCCGTGGTTTTGTCCGCGCCTTTGCCTGCAGTACCTCCTGCCTGACCTCCCTGGTTCACCTGTAGACACTGCCCCTCCCCCATGTCCCTGGTGCATAATAAATGGGCTTTATTGCCACCTCCTCCAGGAAGGTTTCCCAGATCCCCCCAACCCCGGCCACCCAGACTTAATCCCCTCCACCTGCGGGCTGCCCGGCCCACTGCCGCTGTCCAGTACTGTGGTGCTGACCACAGTCGGCTCCTGATGCTTCCACGCCTTTGCCTCACCTCTTGGCCTATTGGTGAGGACAGGGCTTGGCTGGTGGACCACCCCGCTCACCCTGGTGCGGGCACAGGGTCTGGGCTGCCGTGGGCGCTGGTGGGACTGGCTGACATTCCTTCACTCCTGCCGGGTTGGGGACCGTGGGCAGGGACTTTCCGGCCCCTGCACCTTAGTGTTCCCCGCGTCCGGGGATGCAGGGCGCTCCCCTGGGTGGCTGAGGCGGGAGAGGCTCTGGGTGGGCGCCCACTCCGGTGCTGTCCCTGCAGTTCTCCAAGGAGAAGTACATCCTGGACTCGTCGCCGGAGAAGTTGCACAAGGAGCTGGAGGAGGAACTCAAGCTCAGCAGCACGGACCTCCGCAGCCACGCCTGGTACCACGGCCGCATCCCCCGAGAGGTGAGCGCCCACGGGGCCAGCCCCGCCCCCGCCCCCGCCCCCGCCCGCCCGCGGGGACCCTGGCTCGGTGCCTTCAGTCTGGGTGGGCTGAGGTGGGGTGAGGTCTGGCTCTGCTGTTTCCTGACGTGTGAGCACATCCCCACCCCCTCGGAGCCTCAGTGTGCTCATCTGTAAAATGGGAGATGGTAACGGTAGCTACCAAAGGCTCCTTGTGGAAGCCGAGTGAAATGTGCAGGCAAGGGCTTACCACGGCGTCTGAGACCAGCGCACTCCAGCAGTGCCGGCCACTGTGGCTGCTGCTGCGGTCTATGAACCAGCCTCCCACGTGTCTGGTCAGCGAGCGTCTGCCCTCGGGCTGCTCAGAGCTATTTATTTATTTATGTAATTTGAAAGGCAAAGTGACAGAGAGAGAGAGAGAGATCCCCCACCTGCTAGTTCACTCCCCAAATGGCCACGACCAGGGCTGAGAGCCAGGAGCTTCGCCTGGGCCCCCCCATGTATGGCAGAGGTCCAGGCGCTCAGGCCGTCTTCCGCTGCCCTCTTGGTGCATCAGCAGGGAGCCAGATCAGAAGTGGGGCAGCTGGGAGTTGGACGGTGCTCATATGGGGTGCCGGTGTCACGGTGGGGGCTTCACCCATGGTGCCGAGGGCTGCCCGGTTTTGACAAAGTCGAGGTTCCGGGCTCATACACCCTCCTGTCACCCACGTGATCCATCCTAGCCAAGCCCCAGCTCCTCCAGGCTCTGTGCTGGGCACCGGGATGCAGAGATGAAAGAGGTGGCGGCTCCCCTGGGGGCTGCTGGCACAGGGCGGGGCTGACAGAGCCCAGGGGGAGAAGCGCAAGAATGGAGGTGAGGGGGCACTGAGTGAGGGGCTTTGGGGGGGTGGATAGGAGTTTACCAGTGGGCAGGACAGCAAGGGTGTTCCAGGCAGGAAAGGCAGTGCAAAGGCCCAGGGTGGGGTGGGGGCACGGGGGAAGCGAGACTGGGCATTCATAACCACGCGACCCTCAGTGCCTCCAGACCCGGGTCTCTGTGACATCTGTCCAGGGTGAGACAGTGCCCCATTCCTGAGCGTCTGCGCCCCAGAGCCAGGGCCTCTGGCTAGGGGGGCCCTCTGCATCTGGGTGGCTGGGTCCCTGCCCCCCAACTTCAGATGTCAGATGTCTCCAGTCGACCGGGTCTGGCCTGCTCACGGCCCCGCCCTGCTCCAGCCTAACCCCGCCCCGCCCCGCCCCGTCCCGCCCCGCAGGTCTCGGAGACCCTGGTGCAGCGCAACGGCGACTTTCTCATCCGGGACTCGCTGACCAGCCTGGGGGACTACGTGCTCACGTGTCGCTGGCGCAACCAGGCCTTGCACTTCAAGATCAACAAGGTGGTGGTGAAGGCGGGCCAGAACTACACCCACATCCAGTACCTGTTCGAGCAGGAGAGCTTCGACCACGTGCCGGCCCTGGTGCGCTACCACGTGGGCAGCCGCAAGGCCGTGTCGGAGCAGAGCGGCGCCATCATCTACTGCCCCGTCAACCGCACCTTCCCGCTGCGCTACCTTGAGGCCAGCTACGGCCTGAGCCAGGCCGGCGGCAAGGCTGCCAGCCCCGCCAGCCCCTCGGGGCCCAAAGGCAGCCACATGAAGCGGCGCAGTGTCACCGTGACTGATGGCCTCACGGCCGACAAGCTCACCCGCGATGCCTGCCCCGCCAGGTCAGCAGGGACCCTGGGCCAGGCCTGTTCTGCCCAGCGGCCAGCAGGGGCGGGGCGGGGGGGGGCGGTGTCGGCCATGAGAGGGCTGGGGGCGGGGCGGCGGGAGGAGGAGAGGCCTGGCCGCCCTGGCCCAGGGCCAGATGGCTCGCTGGAGCCTCCGCATGCGGGAGGGGCAGGGGGAAGGCCGGGTGGGCTGTGTGGACGCCCATAGTCGGCCCCGGAGCGCAGTTCCAGCTCCGGCACCTGCTGGCTGCTCGCGCTTCTCCCTGCCCTTGCCAAAGCGGCTGTCCTGAACCCTGGCAGGGGCCACCTGAGGCCACCCGAGGCCACGCCTCCCCCCTCCCCCACTGGACAGGCCAAGGCAGGCGGCCGAGTGTGGAGCCTGCTGGCCCCAGGGACGGCATGTCCTCAGAGCAGGCCCCGGGACCCAGGAAAAGCCCCAGCAGCTAGTGGCTCCTGCGCTGAGTGCTGTCCGGGCCCACGCCCCGCTCGGCGGGTGGAGAGGGGCTCAGAGGAGGAAGCGTCTCCTGTGGAGGGGTAGCAGCCAGCCTCCAGCTCGGCTCTGTGGCCCCTCGGGTGGGTCCCCCATGTCTGGCTTCCCCGGCCATTTGCAGAGAGATCGGCTGCCTTACGTCACCAGCACCGGCAGAGGCCCGCGTGGCCCCACCTCTCTGGGCCTGGGCTGGGTGCTGCTGGCCAAGGAAATCAGGGATGCTGTGGCAGCAGCCACTCGGCTGTGGTTTGGAACCCGAGGCGTCCTGAGCAGGGTGTGGGAGCTGCGAGCTGGGGCCCCTCCCCTCCCCACCTCCCAGCTCCTCTGCACAGAGGATTCTCCACATTGGAGAAAGATTCCTACGGAAGGGAACAGATGTGCACGTTGTGGACTGCACAAGGCCTCTGGCCCAGGAGGCAATGGGGGGCCGACTCCGTCCTGCCTCTGCATCTCGGCTGAGGGCTCTGGTGCGGGCGGTGTCTGCTCAGAGAATGGGTGCGGTTGGCTGATCTGCACGGAGGCACCTTTGGGTGGGAGGCGTCTAGCCCGCCTGCCCCTTCCTGTTCTCCCCTGCTGGGAGTGGCAGAGACAGAGGAGGCCGAGAGGCCTTGTACTCGCAGGCTGGTCTCAGCCCTGTGCGAGGGGCAGCGAGGAAGCGGGAGAGCGTGGGGGACCCTCTGCAGCCAGGGGGAGGCGGGGTGCTGGCCCTGGAGCCAGGGTCTGGCTCCCCACTCTGCCCCGACCTTCTGTGTGACCGGCTCCAGCCCTTCCTCCTCCTGGGGCTTTTGTACCTGTTCCCTGGGAGGGCGCATCTGATGGTCAGGGGGAGGGGGTGGGCGGCTCAGATGGCCGAGTCCCCGCCCCGGGGCCCCCGCTCACGGCTGCCGCTGTCTGTCCACAGCGCGTCTCCGGCCCACCCTCGGGACTCCATCCGCAACTGCGCCCTGAGCATGGACCAGATCCCGGACCTGCACTCGCCCATGTCTCCCATCTCCGAGAGCCCCAGCTCCCCCGCCTACAGCACCGGTAAGGCTGCACTGACGCGCCGGGGGAGCCTAGCAGCACCGCGATGCCCACGGGTGAGCCACGGCCATGGCCTGTTCCTCCAGCCGTGGCTCGCAGAGCCCCTACATGGGGGCGGGCAACGTCTCAGCCCCCAGGGCGGCCGAGCCCGGCCCTGCCAAGGCCACCGCGGGTGGGACTCAGAGTTCAGTAACCACCGCAGGCTGGCTCCTGAGCTGATCGTCCGTGCGTGGCCCGCGGATGACATGGTGAATGTCCACGTGGCCCTGGGCAGAGAAGGTTCCGGGTGCCAGGCACTTGTGCAGGGGTTCCCAGAGTGTTTGGGCATCGGTGAGGCCTGCCAGAGGCCCCGTGTGTTACGGGCTGGGGCCCACGAGCTGCGGAGTGCACTGGGGTGGCTCCTGCCTCACCTGGGGTGGGGGCCTCTGGTGGCTGAGTGTGTCCCCAGTCCCAAGTGGCCGGCTCGGACAGGACTGGCTGGGCTTTGATTTTTTAAAAAAAATATGCTTTGTTCTTTAGAGCAGTTAAAGGTTCCAGCCATGCTGTCCACGTGGCCAGCGAAGCGTCAGGAGCGAGGAGCAGTCCCGAGGTCCCTCTGCCCGGGCTCGGTTGGAGTGTTTCTGTGTGTGTGTGTGTGTGTGTGTGTGTGTCTGGCCTTCCGGACAGAGTCCCTCCAGCATCCTCCATCGGAGTGCAAGTTCCAGGCCCGGCACCTCGGCTGCTTTATTTAATTTTTTTTTTTTTTTAAGATTTATTGATTGTGAGGGTCTGGCACGGAGGCACAGCAGGTTAAGCCACGGCCTTTAGTGCCAGCATCCTATATGGGTGCTGATTCGAGTCCTGGCTGCTCTGCCACCGGTCCAGCTCCCTGCTAATGCACCTGGGAAAAGCAGCACAGGGTGGCTCATGTCCCTGGGCCCCTGCACCCATGTGGGAGGCTGGAGGAGGCTCCTGGCTCCTGGCTTCAGCCTGGCACAGCCCTGGCTATTGTGGCCATTTGGGGAGTGAACCAGCTGATGGAAGATCTGTCTGTCTCTCTTTTCTCTCTGTAACTTTGCTTTTCAAATAAAAAAAAAATCAATTTTTTTTGTTAAAGTTTTATTATTTACTTGAAAGTCAGAGTTACACAAAGAAGAAGAGGCAGAGAGAGAGAGACAGAGAGAGGTCTTCCATCCGCTGGTTCACTCCCCAGATGGCTGCAACAGCCAGAGCTGTGCTGATCTGAAGCCAGGAGCCAGGAGCTTCTTCCGGGTCTCCCACATGGGTGCAGGGGCCCAAGGACTTGGGCCATCTTCTGCTGCTTTCCCAGGCCACAGCGGAGAGCTGGATGGGAAGTGGAGCAGCCGGGACTCGAAACAGCGCCCAAATGGGATGCCGGCACTGCAGGCGGCGGCTCCACCCTCTATGCCACAGTGCCGGCCCCATAAATCAATCTTTAAAAATTTTATTTTATTTGAAAAGCAGAGTTGCAGAGAGAGGGGGAAAGAGAGAGAGGGGGAAAAAGAGAGAGCGAGAGCGAGAGCGAGAGAGCACGCGCTTCCATTCACTGGTTCATTCCCCAGATGGCCGCAAGGGGTCAGCAACTTCCTCGGGTCTCCCACGTGGGTGCAGGGGCCCAAACGCCTGGGCCGTCCTCTGCTGCTTCCCAGGCGCATTAGCAGGGAGCTGGATCGGAAGTGGAGCAGCCGGGACTTGAACCGGCGCCCCTGTGGGATGCCGGCGTCACAGGCAGAGGCTTTACTGGCCATGCCACAGCGCCGGGCCCAATTTCTGTCATCTTAACACCCCCGAGGGGGATGAGAGTCCACACAGGCAGCCCCGGGGGACAGGCGAACCCGGTGCAGGGCACAGCCTGAGCCTGCAGGACGTCACAAGGGCTGCTGGCCCCGGCCTCACCCTGGAGGGAGGACGGCGTCCGTCCCGCCGACGCTGCGGTAACGAGTGCTCTCTCTCTGCCCCTCCGCAGTGACCCGCGTCCACGCCGCCCCCGCAGCCCCCTCTGCCACAGCACTGCCTGCCTCCCCCGTCGCCCGGCGCGCCAGTGAGCCCCAGCTGTGTGCCGGAAGCACCCCAAAGCCCCCCGGGGAGCCGGACAAGGGTCCTCACGCCAGCCCCTCGCACAGCCTCTGCAAGGCCTCGCCGTCGCCGTCGCTCAGCGGCTACAGCGACACGGACTGCGGCCACTACTGCCAGCTCCAGCCTCCGGTCCGAAGCAGCAGGGAGTGGGCGGTGCTAGATGCCTCCAGCCGGCAGGCCAGGAACCACGGGGAGAGGCCAAAGGAACTGTCGGGCCACGGGGCCCCTGAGCGGGAGCGGGAGCGGGAGCGGGGTGAGGCGTTCACTGTGCCCGTCGTGGAAGCCACCTCCTCCTTCAGCCCGGCCACTTTCCAGTCCCTGCTGATGCCCAAGGACAACCGGCCCCTGGAGGTGGGCCTCCTGCGCAAGGTGAAGCAGCTGCTGGCCGAGGTGGACGCCCGGACGCTGGCCCGGCACCTCACCAAGGTGGACTGCCTGGTAGGTGCGGGCGGGGGCTGCGCCTCTGGCCCCGGGCTCGGCCCAGGGGTCAGCGGGAGGAGCCTGTGTCTTAACCACTCTCCCTCCGGGCCTCCGTGGTCTCCTCTTAAAAGTGCAAACGCCAAGGGATTCTTGCCTCTGACCAGTGCCGGGTTGGCGCTAGAACCAGGCAGCCCCTGAAACGCAGGGCTCTCTGGGGCCGGATGCCCTTGGGGACCCCAAGAGTCCGAGACTGCGCCTGCGGGTCCAGGGACTGGGCAAGGCCCGGCTCCCCGCCCCCACGCCCCCTAGTGGCCAAGTGAGCAGCAGCCGTGGCTCGTGCAGAGCTGGGCCCTCGGTGTGTCGCATGCACGGCGCTTGACCATCTGAGGACCCCAGTTTTCTCTGCGCTCCCCTCGACCTTCAGAGGAGCTGGTTGTCTGGTTACACTGGTCCCGGAGCTCGGGAGGCAGGAAAGCTGCAGGGTTAGGCCCAGGGTGAGCCGTGGGCAAGCTCATCTGAGCGTCAGGTACTTTTTACAAACATCGTGACATTGATGCCCCATTTCACAGATGGGGAAACTGAGGCTCCCTCCCGCGCTCCGTGCCACAGGGTTAAGCGGTGGAGCTGTGGCGTCCACACACGCCCCCTGGCCGGCTACACCCTCCAATCAAGCTCGGGTCGGCACCGACAGGAAATTAATCAGCGCTCTGGGCGTCCTTGCAGGTTGCTAGGATACTGGGCGTTACCAAGGAGATGCAGACCCTCATGGGAGTCCGCTGGGGCATGGAGCTGCTCACCCTCCCCCACGGACGGCAGCTTCGACGGGACCTGCTGGAGAGGTGAGGCGCTGGCCGGCCGGGACCCGGGGAGCCCGCGGGAGCCCTCGCCCCTCCGGCCGCGCCCCCACCCCGCTGCCCAGTCACGACCGCGTCATCTACAGCTCGGAGCGACCCTGGCTTCCCAAAGCCTAAGTCCGCGGTCGCATCCTTCGGACCAGTGGGCTCGCTGTCCGTCAGCCTCGGCCCCGCCCATCAGTCCCCCTGTTCATTCTTAAAACCTCCACCATCAATCACAAACTCCGCCTGGCGGCCTGGTCCCGCCCCAACCTACACCCACCAATCAGAGGCCATCACCCTGGCCGCGCCTCCAATCCTGGGCCACCCGCGCTCCCCGCCCCGCCCCTTCTCCGCCCACCCCGGCCCCGGCCCCGCCCCCTGACCTGGCACTCCGACAGGTTCCACACCATGTCCATCATGCTGGCCGTGGACATCCTGGGCTGCACGGGCTCGGCCGAGGAGCGGGCAGCGCTGCTGCACAAGACCATCCAGCTGGCGGCCGAGCTGCGGGGGACCATGGGCAACATGTTCAGCTTCGCCGCGGTCATGGGCGCCCTGGACATGGCCCAGGTACCGTGGGGTTCGCCCGGCGAGGCTGGAGGAGCCTGGGGCGCGTGCCTTCGCGATGGCCGCGCACGAACCAGGAGGGACTGGGGGACTCCGGGCACCGTGGTGAAAGAGCCAGCGTAGAGCTGAGTTCTCCAAGGCTGGCCAGGCCCGCCCCTGCCCTGGGCCCCCGGCCCCCCTACAGACGGACGAGGGGCGCGAGTTGAGAGAGCGCACGCGCGCCCTGCGTGCTCGGCGCAGTGGCAGGTGTCCAGGCAGCCCCGCGAGGCCGTGGTCTCAGGCGGGGCGGGGTGGCAGGCGCAGCGGGCCGGGAGGGCTGCGGGCTCCAGTGGGGCGACACCGGCCCTACTCGCCCAGCACGGCAGGGGTCCGGCCCCGCCCCGTCCGTGGGCACGGCAGGGGCGGCGCGGGGCAGTCCGGGCCGCCCCGCTGGCCCCTCACAGCGCGGTCTCCCCAGATTGCCCGGCTGGAGCAGACGTGGGTGACGCTGCGCCAGCGGCACACGGAGGGCGCCATCCTGTACGAGAAGCAGCTCAAGCCCTTCCTCCGCAGCCTTAACGAGGGCAAAGGTACCGCTGCCCACCCCCGCGACCGGAGGCCCCCGCGCCCCCCCGCGACCGGGAGGCCCCCGCCCCCCCCCGCGACCCAGCGGCCCCCGCCTCTCCCCCGCGACCGGAGGCCCCCGCCCCCCCCCCGCGACCCAGCGGCCCCCGCCCCTCCCCCGCGACCGGGAGGCCCCCCGCCCCCCCCCCGCGACCTGGAGGCCCCGCCTTCCCCCTCCGCGACCCGGCTGCCCCGCCCCCACCTGACCCTCGCCCCCCCCCTCCCCCGCAGAGGGCCCGCCGCTGAGCAGCACCACCTTCCCGCACGTGCTGCCCCTCATCACCCTGCTGGAGTACGACGCGGCGCCGGCCGAGGGCCCCCAGCCCTGGGGCAGCACGGAGCACGGCGTGGAGGTGGTGCTGGCGCACCTGGAGGCCGCGCGCACCGTGGCGCACCACGGGGGCCTGTACCACACCAACGCCGAGGTCAAGCTGCAGGGTGAGTGCGGGGCCCCGCCGGCCTGCCCCGCCGCCCTGGCCCCACGCACCCATCGGGACCAAGCCGCCTCTGCCGCCACCCCTCCCCACGCGCCTGCGGCCCCGCCTCTGCCCGCCCCACCTCCCCACGCCCGTGGACCACGCCATCTGCCTCCACGCGCCCCGCGGATCTGCCTCCTGCCTGCCTCGCCCCTCTCCCCACGCCCCGCGGGAACCTCCCGGCCTTCTGCCTGCCCCGACACCCTCGGGACGCCCACGCTGCCGCCCCTCCCCACGCCCTCGGGACCCCGCCGTCTGCCGCCCCGCTCCCCACGACACCCCTCGGGACCTGCCTCTGCCGCCCCCTCCCCACGCCCCGCGGGACCCCGCCTCTGCCTCCCACGCCCCGCGGGATCTGCCTCTGCCGCCCCCTCCCCACGCCCCGCGGGACCCCGCCTCTGCCGCCCCCACACCCCTCGGGACCCACCTCTGCCGCCCCTCCCCACGCCCCTCGGGACCCCGCCTCTGCCGCCCCCTCCCCATGCCCCGCGGGATCTGCCTCTGCCGCCCCCACGCCCCGCGGGCCCCGCCTCTGCCTCCCCCTCCCCACGCCCCGCGGGACCCCGCCTCTGCCGCTCCCACGCCCCGCGGGGGGCCCCATGCCTCACCCCTCTGTCCTGCCCGGTCCCCCTCGCCCCTCTGCCCTCTCTCGCTAGTTGTTAGCGGCAGGGGCCAGGTGAGGGTCAGAGCCCTTGGCTGTCCCTGACCTCCGCCAGCCTTGGTGTTCCCGTCTGTGAAGTGGGCCTCCTGGGCCCAGTTTTCAAGGAGCTGGGTCTGGCCAAGACCTAGAACTCCCTCTGCGCAAGAAGCCTCCCACAGCCCCTCTTTTGGTGCTCACTGCGTTATTTAAGTCATAAAAATTCACCAGAGGAAAACTTGGAAATTACAGCTGAGCAAAAATCAGATTAAACAACCGCCCGGAGCAGGGGCTGGTGCCGTGCGCAGGGGGTGAGGCCCTGCCCAGCGGTGCCCGCACCCAGAGGGGCGTCGCTGGAGCCCGGCGGCTCCACTTCCAGTGCAGCTCCCTCTGTGGCCTGGGAAAGCAGCGGAGGGGGCCCGAGTGCCCGGGCCCCGCACCCACACGGGAGACCCGGACGGAGCTCCAGGCTCCTGGCTTCGGCCCGGCCCAGCCCTGGGCACTGCGGCCATTTGAGGGAACCAGTGGCTGGAAGACCTCTCTCTCTGTCCCTCTGCCTTCAAATAAATCCATAAATCCTAAAAAAAAAATTAACCCATAATAACCCAGCAGTAAACGCTGCAAACATTCTAATGTACATCTTCCCCTTTTCTTTTTTCAGAAAAATACATATTTTTATATTTACTTAAAAATATGTATATATATATAATAGAAAACATTTGGAACTTATATAAAGATACAAAGGAAAACACCTAAGATCTCCCCAAAAGTTAACGTCAATCCTTGAATTTCTTGAAAATTACACGGTGCAGAGGGACAGAGCACCCGCTCATCAGGAATCCCGTGGCGCTCTGGGGGGGGGGGGCCCTGCGCGTGGGGGCCGGCGGCCGGCGGTGCCCTGACCCCGCACCCCCTCCCTGCAGGGTTCCAGGCCCGGCCCGAGCTCCTGGAGGTGCTCAGCACCGAGTTCCAGATGCGCCTGCTGTGGGGCAGCCAGGGTGCCAGCAACAGCCAGGCCCGGCGCTACGAGACGTTCGACAAGGTCCTCACTGCGCTGTCCCACAAGCTGGAGCCCGCGGTCCGCTCCAGCGAGCTGTGACCCCGGGGACCTTGCCCTCTGCGGCTGCGGGCGGCACCGGGGGGCAGGGCTCAGAGCACCCCAGGGACACTGTGATCAGCCCAAGAATGTTCTGAGTCCAGCGCCAGGACCCCCCTGCACTTCAGGGTCCTGCGTGGACTCTGGGCACCCCCCCCGCACCCTCCCCGGGTCGCCCTCCGGGAGGAACAGGGACCCCTGCCCCAGCTTCTGCTGCTGCTGCTGCCCCCAGACTCCAGTTTGAGCCAGGGGAGCCCCTCACACCGCCTCCCTCCGCTCCAGGCCTCTCCCCTGCCCTGCTGGCACCGGGTTTACCTGTAAATACGTGTACAGAGCCACGTTCTCTTTCATATAATAAACTTTTATGACTTTCTTCTGTCCATCGGGGCCCAGGGTGGGAGGGAGCCTCTCTGGGTTGGGTGCCCGGCAGAGACTCCGCAGCACCGGGGACGTCGCAGACTGAGCCGGGGGCCAGAGCTACGCCAGTGCTGAAGTCATCGCCTGCCCGGGAGGGACCCACAGGCCCGAGGCGGGGGGAACCCCTAATCTGACCCCTTTCCCCCCTTGAGACCCACACGCCGGCTCCCACAAACCCACCACCAAGGACCCAAGGTGCTGGCCGGGGAAGGCTTTTCCGAGTGCAGGGGGCAGCTGCCGGCCCGGATTGGAGCCGGCTGCAGTGGCCGCCCCAGGGCGCACCCCGGATTGGAGCCGGCTGCAGTGGCCGCCCCAGGGCCCTCTGCACTCCCCAAGGGTGGGAGCAGCTACTCTCCTGCAGACTGAGCTGTGGCCCCGGAGTCTGTGTGTGCCTGGATGGGGATGGGAGGGCAGCGCGGGCCGCAGGACTCCGGGGCTCGCCGGGGGCCGCGGCGGGGTGGGGAGGGGCTGTCCGCAGAGTGGGGTCCCCTGGAGCTGGCCCTTCAGCTCCGGCAAGGCTGGCAGGTTGGGATGGGGCCCGGCGCAGCAGCCGGAGTACTAGCGGGTGATGGCTTCTCCCCTTGAGTGCTCCTCTGAGAGAAGGGGGCCATGAGGGAGCTACGTGTCCCGGCACGGCCAGCCAGGTCCCGTACCTCGCGAGGGGTCAGTGATGACCGCTCCGGCCAGTGCCGTAGGGCACTAAGGGCACGCTAAGAGCCACCAGTGCGCGCTCTTTCGTCCTTTACAAGGAAGAAAAACAGCGTGGAGTAAGGTTCCGCACCAGTTCTCCCTACAATTGTCACGTCACCCTCCGAGGGCATCATTCTTTCTGAGCCACCACGACGGCACCTTAGTTACGGTGGCTACGGAAACGCGGATTGGGCGGCTCGCGGGCGCCTCCTAGAGGCCGCTTTCCGGTCCTGCTGCCGGAACGACGGGGCGGGCCTTTTGAGGAGGGCGGGAGGGAAGCCGGGAGTTGTAGGCTGCGGGGCGTGGCTTCCTCGGAGCGGTGCACGCCGGGAGTTGTAGTTCGAGGGCGGGGCCAGGGTGGCTCCAGGTGGAGCGCGGGCCTCGCCCGGATGGCGGCTGTGACGCGCGGCCGCCGGCCCTGGGGCTCGCTCCTCGGGCTGCTCGGGCTGGTCTCGGCCGCGGCCGCCTCCTGGGACCTGACTTCGCTGCGCTGCAACTTCGGCGACTTTTGTGAATGCGACTTCCGGCCCGACTTCCCGGGTGAGGAGCCGCGGGAGCCGGGCCGGAGGGCGGGGGAGCGTCGGGAGCCCCGGGCTTGCTCCGGCCTTGCTCCGGGCCGGAACAGCTGTGGACCCAGAGGGCCGAACGGCGGGGAGGGACCCGCGGACTCGAGGGTGGCCGAGGCCGGAAGCCTAAGGGGTCCGGACCTGAGGCAGGGAGCCGAGGCGAGGGCCGGGGGTGCCCGTTGGGGTCCAGGAGGGCCGCCGGGGTGGCGGGAGCCGTTGGACAGCAGGGGACGGCAGGGGGCGGGAGGCAGCCCCTCATCTAGGACCCTGGAGAACCGCCTGGCGGCTCCCGCAGCGACTCCCAGGGCTCTGTCCACAGCTGGGACAGACGTCTGAGCCCGGTTCCGGCCGGGACGTCCTGCTTGGGCCGCTGCCTTGTGGGGGCGTGTCCTGAGCGCCGCCTCCGCTTCCGTGGCCCTAGGTCTGGAGTGTGACCTGGCCCAGCACCTGGCAGGCCAGCACCTGGCCAGGGCGCTGGTGGTGAAGACGCTGAAGGCGTTCGTGCGGGACCCGGCGCCGAGCAAGCCGCTGGTGCTCTCCCTGCACGGCTGGACGGGCACCGGCAAGTCCTACCTCAGCTCCCTGCTGGCCCGCTACCTCTTCAAGGGGGGCCTCCGCAGCCCCCGGGTGCACCACTTCTCCCCCATCATCCACTTCCCCCACCCCAGCCTCATGGATCGCTACAAGGTACCCGTCGCCTGCGCCGCCCGGAGCCTGGGACAGAGCTGGCCGAGGTCTCTGATTCGCGGGGGGCGGCAGGGTGGCCGCGAGGGGTCGTGTGGGTGCCCGCGTTGCTGCCCAAGCGCCGAGGACCACCGCCGAGGACCACCGCCGTGGCAAACACGGGCTCTTGCTGCTGCTGCTGGCTCCGCCGCTCTGCACCGCTGACGGTGCGGCTGGGAGCGCTCCCGGGGCAGGGAGGAGCAAGGGCCCCAGGAGGAGCCCTGGACAGGGAGGCGGAGGCCGGCATGGCTGTGTGGCCGCGGGCAGCTGTCTGCCTCTCTCTGGCCCCGTGGCGCCGTCTGGAAGGCTCTAGTCCCTGGCAGGGGCAGGCCCGGCTTGGGGGGGGGACGTCGGGGGCGGAGGGGTACCTGCAGCCGCCCTCCAGCTCCCGTCTCTGCCCCCCAGAAGGACCTTAAGAGCTGGGTCCAGGGCAACCTCACTGCCTGTGGCCGCTCTCTCTTCCTCTTCGACGAGATGGACAAGCTGCCCCCGGGCCTGATGGAGGTCCTGCGCCCTTTCCTGGGCCCCTCCTGGGTCGTGTACGGGACCAACTACCGCAAAGCCATCTTCATCTTCATCAGGTGGGCGTGGCCTTGCGGCGGGCGCCGTGGGGGAGGCACCTGGAGGCCCTGCCAGCCCTGCCCGAGCCCCTCCCGCTCTTGGCTGGTGACAGTCACTCCGGGTGGTTGACCGTGACCTCTCAGGGTGCACCTGGGCCGTTCTGTAGGTCCTGACCCCTTGCGGGTTCCCCCGTGGGGCAGCCAGGGGGACATAGGACAAGCACTCGCGTCCTCTGGTCCCTGCTAAGTCTCCTGGCTGTGTCTTCCCTGAGCTCACTCCTCCTCCTCTAGACGTCGGCATTGGCATCAGGGCCCCGTTGGGCTGCGGGAGGGAGAGTCAGGAACATGAGCTGCCCTGTGACGGGCATTGAGGTGGAGGACAGGGGCCGGGGCTGCAGAGCTGGCCCCGGAGAGGGGTCGGGGCTCCCGCCGGCGGGCGGCTGCGCTCCCGTGCGCCTGGGCCGGGTCTGGCCCCTCACTGCTCCCTGCTCAAGTCACGGCCTGGGTGCCCCACGGTTTCAGCAACACCGGCGGCGAGCAGATCAACCAGGTGGCCCTGGAGGCGTGGCGCAGCCGCCGGGAGCGCGAGGAGATTGGCCTGCAGGAGCTGGAGCCCGTCATCGCCCGCGCCGTGCTGGACAACCCGCACCGTGAGTCGGGCTCGGGCCTGGGCCCGGTGGGCAGGGCTCCCTAGGGTGGCTGGGGTCGCACGCTCCCCCCGCTGCCCTGGGCGCTCCCAGCTCAGGGCAGACTGCTGGAGGGCCGGGGGCCCGGGGGCCTGCACCTGCCATGCCCTGCGCTGGGAACACGGCTCCTCTCCTCTGGCCTCCCTGCAGATGGCTTCTGGCGCTCGGGCATCGTGGAGGAGCGCCTCCTGGACGCGCTGGTGCCCTTCCTCCCGCTGCAGCGGCACCACGTCCGGCACTGCGTGCTCAACGAGCTGGCCCAGCTGGGCCTGGAGCCCAGGGACGAGGTCGTGCAGGCGGTGCTGGACGCCACCCCCTTCTTCCCCGAGGACGAGCAGCTGTTTTCCTCCAACGGCTGCAAGACCGTGGCCTCCCGGCTCGCCTTCTTCCTGTGACCCTGCCTGGCCGGGCCTCCGGGACAGTGGGAGCCGGAACCCGAAGTGAAGGAGCAGAGGAGCGCTGGCCGGGCGGGGCCCGGGGCCCAGAGGGCGCTGGTCACCACAGCCTCGCCGCGCCCGCCGGAGCCTCCTCGTCTGAACTGGAACTCAGGGACCCGCGGGGCGGCTGCGTGCCGCCTGGGCCTGTTCTCGCGCACCCAGGCCAGGGCCCCACGGTGCCCGGAGTGGAGGGACTCGAGCTGCCACCGGGGCCTGGTTCGGGAAGTGTTTAATTTTCTAAGAGAACAAGTGTAATAAACTCAGCCGTGGACCAGAGCAGTGCCCGCGCGGGTTTTTCGTTGCCCTGGGAGGAGGCCCCAGCGCTGGGGGAGCGGGGCCTCCCCGCCTCAGTGAGCCTCGGGGGCGTCACTGGGCCTTTCGGGGAGCAGCGTGACGCCGGGTTCCTGACCGGCCTCGTGTGGGCTGGCGCCCTCGGTGGTCTTGGTGTTGCTGAGGTTGGGGATCAGGTCCCCGATGACCTTGGCCTTGCTAGAACTCGAGCTTGTGCTTGGACTCCAGCTCGCGGCCGCCTCCGTCCTGCTGGGCTGCTGGCCCTGGCCCTGAGTGACCGGGGTCTCGCCGGAGCTCCAGCCGGGGTCTTGGAGAGCCTCCGCCTTGCAGGAACTGCGCATGAGCCCCCGGCCCTGGCCCTCGGCGGGGATGGGTCTCCAGCTCCGGCCGTGGGCAGCCTTGGCCCTTCTGAATCTCCGCCTCGGATGCTGGGTGCTCTCGCCCTGGGCCTGGGCGGCCTCCGTCTTGCTGGCGCTCTCGCCTTGGGCCTGGTCCTGGCCCTGACCCTGGGTGGCCTCCGTCCTGCTGGCGCTCCCGCCCTGGCGCTGGGTGGCCTCGGTCTTCCTGGTGCTCCCGCCCTGGCGCTGGGTGGCCTTGACTTTCCTGGAACTCCCACCAGGGCCCTGGGTGGTCTTGGCTTTGCTGGTGCTCCGGCCCTGGCCCTGGGTGGTCTTGGCTTTGCTGGTGCTCCTGCCCTGGCCCTGGGTGGTCTTGGCTCTGCTGGTGCTCCTGCCCTGGCCCTGGGTGGCCGCGGCAGTGCCGGAGCTCCGGCCCTGGCCGGCCTGGGTTCCTCCGGGGCCGGGGCCGGGGCCGGGGCTCTGGGCCTTCCGGTCCTGGCCCGACTCCGAGGACTGGGTCTTCGGCACTGATGACTCCGCGGAGGCCGCGGCGGTGCTAGAGCTGCTCTGGTACTCCCGGCCGAGTGTAGGCGTCTCCGTCTCCGAGGTGGACGCGGTGCTGACTGGGAAGGGTGTGCCAAGGGCAGCCCTCAGGCCCGCCCCTCCCCGGGCAGCTCCAGGAGGAGGGGCTTCCTGTCTCTGGCCTCCCAGGCACCTAGGGCCGTGGGGGAGGGGGCCCGGCCCAGGGCCCTGCGCTCCCTGCCCCCCCTTGGTGAACCCCCTCTTTCAGGTCCTTAAGCTCCCCGCTCCACCCCTCAGAATGGGGCTCGCTGCACTTGTGCCCGCCGCTGTGTCCCCCGCCGGGCCTCTGCCTGTCCCCCGGCTGACCGTTCACCTGAGCTGGCTTCAAACTCAGCCCCGGGCGAGGCCAGGCGAGGCCTGGGCCGTGCCCATCACCAGTACAGGTGCAGGCTCGGCCCTGGGCCTCAGTGCCTGTGTCGGGCTGCCGGCACGGCCATCTCCCGGCCAGGCGCCATCACACCCGTGCGCGGGGCTCTGCCAGAAGCAGCCCTCCATGGGGGTCAGAGCCCCTGGACGTTGGCAGAGATAGGCCGAGGGGAAGAAGAGAGGCCGGCTTGTAAGGGGGGTGGCAGCCTGGAGGGCGCACTGAGGCCCCTGCAGTGAGCGGGCAAACCCCGCCAGGGCCTCCGCCCCGCCCCCGGGAGGCTGCGGCTGCCACTCCAACTCTGTGGCCACTGGAGCCACATTCACAGCCAGGCCGGCGACTCCCTGACCCCTAACCTTGGGGTCACTCAGGCCCAGCCAGAGCCCTGGGGACTCACAGCCCAGGACGGAGCTGGAGGAGGTCTGGCCCACGTAGCTTTCCGACATGGACGGCACCTTGTGGGTGGCGGGCTCGGCTCTCTCCTCCTGTGGCGGCAGACAGGCGGGGCTGTCACAGACCGTGGGAGGCCCTGGGCACAGAGCGCCGCACAGGCACCGGGCCAGGGTCGGGGAGGCACGGGAGAGGCTCAGACGGGGCAAGGGGAGACGGCCCAGTGCTGTGAGGAAGGGGCTGTTCACCGGGCTGCCTGGGAGCCGCAGTGCGTGGGGAGCGGCCAGGGAGGACGGCAGGCTGGTCCTTGTCACCCTCCAGCACGGCTGCAGGCAGAGCCCTGGGCGTGGCTCACAGACAAGCCGCCTGCCCAGGGCCACGCAGGCAGGGAGAGATGCGTTCCCACTGCTGCCACCAGCCGGCCTGAGGGCCTGCGCCCCAGGTAGGACCCCATGACATAGGGGGCCACACAGCTAGCGGTCTTATACCTGTGTGTGTATTCCACCATGAAATGGGGGACAAGGCGCCGGCCTTTCCCATTCCTGGCAAGGGCGCCCTCGCCTGCGTGATGTTCCCTCTGCCGGCATCAAGCCCCGGGCTGCTAAACCGTGGGACGAGCAGGGGGTGGAGGGTCCCACAGCAGTGATCAGGGGCGCGGCGGCGAACCGCGCCAGCCACCGTGGAGCCACAGGAGCCAGAGGCCGGGGCAGGGGCGTCGTTCACAGAACACCCGTGCACGGACTTCAGCGTTTTTTGCACCAAAACCCTCTTACCTTTGGGTCCCATTTCCCATGAACTCTTTAAGGAACGCTACTAGGAGTGCGGCCATTTCTTTGAAGAAAAGGCCAAACTCACACGTGGAGTTGGGGCTTGTGGGGCGGGGGTCCAGACGGGCCTGGGGGCCTCCAGGGAGGAGGGGAGCGCTCCCGGGTCGGGGTGTTTGCTCACTGGGGCCGGGGCCGCAGGTCGGATTTACGTTATAGCCAACATGGTGTTTGTAGAAAAAGATTTCGGAATTAAGGAAAGTCTGAGCCAAGGGGTGAGTGCGGGCAGCTGGCCGTGGGAGGCCTGCGTGGGAGGACCCGGTCTCCAGGCTCTGTCCCCCAGGAGCACCCCTTGGTGGTAACTGCCCGCTCGGCAGAGCCAGGCCCAGACCCCGAGGGCCACTCACCGTCGCCTTCTCCTCCTCGGGGCCCTTGGCCTCTTCCACGGTGCGTGGGGGCTCCACCTTCAGGTCCTCGGGGACGGCCTTCGGCTCTTCCGCGGTTGCCGCCAGAGACCGCTCCCGCATCCAGGAGAGGCTCAAGGCCTGGGCCTTCTGCCGCTCCAGTTCCCGCACCCTGAGCAGCCTGCCGCACACGGCCCCGGGTGCCGGTCAGCCCCGCAGACCTCCCTGCCGCCCTCCGGGAGCGGACGGTGGCCTGGGGACGGCAGCCCCTGCCCGGGGGCTCGCTCTCCCCGGCGGCTCACCCCACGATGCCCTGCAGGCTGCTGGGCTGCTGGCTGCTCTCCACCAGACGCTCCAGCTGCATTTTGGCCAGGTGGCCTATCTGGCTGCCAAGGACGTCCTCCATCGACATGCCCGGGAAGAGGTTGGTCATCATCGGGACCAGCTGTGGGGACAGCACCCGAGCCCATGTCAGCCAGAGCGGGGTGGGGGGTTGGCTGCACGTGGTCCTTCCCAGGGCTGAGGAAGAAACGGCTTGGAAACTGTTTCCATTTTTATTAAAAAAAAAAAATGTATTTGAGATGGAGAGAGAGAGAGCAAGAGAGAGATTCCCTCCACTGGTTCACTCCCTACACGACCACAACGGCCAGGACTGGGCCAAGACTGAAGCTGGGGCCCAGGAGCCAGAGTAGGAACTGAAGCCAGGCGCCCGAATACGGGAAGCTGTGGTGGAATGAGAAGGCCATGCCAAGATGGCCGCTGGCAAGTAGCATCAGTTACTCAAGAATGGCTTTGAAACCCACCTGGCAACAGAGCCTGCCTGGCAACAGTCTGTGATTGGTTAGGGCATAGACCGCCCCTTGACTGGATTGGCTGCCTCGGCTATATAAGCTGCTGCACCAACTGAAATAAATGAGTCTGCAGGCTGCTCCCCTCTGGCCTGCTTTCACCCGACTCCCGGGGTCTGTGTGGTGACTCCGTGCCTCTTGCCCCCACCATGCTCCTCCTCTCAGAGAGCAATCCACAGCAACATCTGGTGCCCAAGGTGACTGGGAGAGAGACAGCATGTCGGACTTGGCGAAGACCCCCCCCACACCCCAATTTCAGCAAGAAGGCCTCTCGGTGTTTTGTGTGCTGTTCGGTTCTGTGAGGGTGAGCACAGAACCCCCTCCTACGCCCCGTCCTTGTCCTTGTCCTCATGCCAGGTTAGGCACACACCGCCCAGAAGTGTACGCCGCTTCTCGGCTCCTCCTTTTACTTTCGGTTCGCCCGGCGAATTCACATCAGGGACTGATCATCCCGGAATTCCGAACCAAGTCATCTTCCCTCACTCGAGAGAGGTGACGCTCCGGAGACACCGTGTGGCATACGGCCTTGACCTAACGAATCAAGGATGTCCCCCACTAAGCACAGGACATACGTATGATCTGACACACCACTGTCTGTTTGTCTAACATAGGGAAGCCCTGCAGAATGCCATCAGCCGCTGAGGTGCTAGGAATTTGTTATGGCAGCAGTGCTGTGCGTGTCTCCTTTGGCTAGAGTTGGCGTGGCACGCTGCTCTTGAGTGCTCAGACATGGGAAAGATACCCCCTCTCGGAATCCCATGCAGATAATCAGACAGTGAATCCGGGAGTGATCAGAGCCTGACACTCCAGGTCCCTGTCTCACAGACAACAGTTGATGACTTAGGGAGAGAGAGCTGGACAGTGAAAATGACAATGTAGCAAACAAGGTAGCAAACAATGTAGCAATGCCTAGTCAGCCACCCCCCACACACCGTGAGATGAACTTAGAGGACCTCCAGACGATAACTCATGTGAGGTCATCCCATCTGCACCCAGGGAGGAGCCCCACATTTGTGGCAGTCCCCAGGCACCCCAGGCTCTCAGGGCAGCTGCTAGCTTCCATGCCATCCGCATGTTTGTCGTTAATCTCAAAGTGGACGCAAAATTCAGGCCCTGGATTCCAGCACCCATGGAAAGGCTTCTGCTAACCAAGGGTCGAGGGTATGCTTGTGTCTTTCCAGAGAATGTGGGACAGCCCATTTGGGTACCAGCCAGAAACACCAAACCTGCAACTGACAGCCAACCAGAACCAGCTGAACCAGACTGAGAGTCCGCCTTGTTAACAGATGCACCTGCCTTATCATCCTACCCTGAGAATCTGCCCAGAGCCACATCCATTATTGTTTTATACTCCACCAGCTCTGGTCAGCCACTCGAACGGCCCACAGCCTGTGTGCACTCACGCCAGTCCTGATTACCACTGTTCCTCATTCCTACCCCCATCTGAGCAAGCACTCCTGTGGTCTCCCGATTTGAGCGCTGGTTAGTCAACGACGGGTAAGATCCCCTGGGGGACAACTAAGGCACAGCTGTGTACGAAGACCACATGGAAACGGGGTCAACAATGGTATGGCCAAGATTCATGCCTCCCATTGCTCAAAAATAAACGAAAAGGGGGAAATGTGGTGGAATCAGAAGGCCATGCCAAGATGGCCGCTGGCAAGCGAGCGGCAGTTACTCAGGAATGGCTTCAGAACCCACCTGGCAACAGAGCCTACCTAGCAACAGGCTGTGATTGGTTAGGCCATAGACCGCCCCTTGACTGGATTGGCTGTCTTGGCTATATAAGCTGCTACACCAACTGAAATAAACAAGTCTGCAGGCTGCTCGCCTCAGGCCTGCTTTCACCCGACTCCCGGGGTCTGTGTGGTGACTCCGCGCCTCTTGCCCCCACCATGCTCCTCCTCTCAGGAACGAATCCACAGCAACAGGATTCAGGCCAAACACCAGCCACAAATGGTGGTTTTTAGAGGGCTGGACCCTTTGGCCCAGGACAGGGAGGAGACCATGAGACAGGGACTAATCCCCACTGAGTCCAGCCGTGGGCATGCAACCAGGCCAAAGAGAGTCTGAGCCACCCTCCACGGACCTGGGGCCAGGGCACGGCCTCTCGGAGCCTCGCTGTCCTGCTCTGCCACCTGGGGGCCGTGTCCCCTCCTCTGGGGTGGGGACGAGGGCAGCCAGAGCCCGTTCCCTCCAGGGGCAGGGGGTCAGGCAGCCGGGCGCTGCCTCTGGACCCTCCCTCCGGCCAGCAGGGCCCCACCTTTGGCAGCTTGGGGTTGAGGAGCAAGGCGGTGGCGAGGTCCTGGCGGGCCCCGAAGACGTCCTGCAGGAGCTGCCGGCTCTTGGCCCGGTACAGGTAGTACTGGGCCTGCTGCGGGTTGTGCTGGATGGCGGCTGAGAAGTGGTCCTCTGCCTTCTGGAACTGCCTGCAGGACACAGGGGGCCCCAGGCCGCCGTGAGGGGCCCACGTGGGCGCCACGGAGGACCTAGGGAGAACCAGGCAGCTCCCCCCTCCAGCTGCACCCTTGACGAAGCAAGTGAGGAGTTTTGTGATCTTGGGGAAGGGGAGGCTTCCTGGGAAGGCCATAAACCCAGGAGCTGTGTGCTATGGTGCAGTGTGGTAAGCCACCACCCACGATGCCCGCATCCCACACGGGTGCCACCACCCATGATGCCCGCATCCCACATGGGCGCCGTTTCACTCTTGGCTGCTCCACTTCCAGTCCAGCTCTCTGCTGTGGCCTGGGAAACAGTGGAAGATGGCCCAAGTCCTTGGGCCCCTGCACCCGCATGGGAGACCCACAGGAAGCTCCTGGCTCCTGGCTTCAGCCTGGCCCAGCCCTGGCCGTTGTAGCCATTTGGGGAGTGAACAAGTGGATGGAAGAGCTCTGTCTCTCTCTGCCCCTGTCTGTCACTTTGCCTTCCAAATAAATAAACATTTAAAGAAAAAACAAAGTGAAAATTCACTATCAAATTCCATGTTTTTGAGTAGTAAAAGCACCGCAATGAAAAGCAACATACAAGGGTATTTTAAGAGATTTTTGGAAAGTTGAATTAAAAGATGAGTTTATATTGGTGCAAAAAATTTTTTTTTAAGATTTATTTATTTGTTTGAAAGGCAGAGTCACAGAGAGGGAGATCTTCCAGCCACTGGTTCACTCCCCAAATGGCTGCATCGGCCAGGGCTGGGCCAGGTAGAAGCCAGGAGCTAGGAGCTTCCTCCAGGTCTCACGGGTGGGGGCAGGAACCCGAGTACTTGGGCCACCCTCCGATGCCTTCCCAAGCATGTTAGCAGGGAGCTGGATCGGAAGTGGAGCAGCCAGGACACAAGCCGGCGCCTGCCGAACCTGCTCTGCCAGAGTGCCTGCCCACGTGCAGGACATTTTTTGAAATGCATATTATCTAATAAGTTAATAATAAAGGAAGTGTTAATGAGCAACAGACAAATGGGCAGAAGAGCCGAGTAGGCCTCGGGCCTGGTACACACACGGTGCCGGGCCACACCAGAAACTCCCGCACGCACAGGAAGTAATGGTGAGGGAGCGACTTTTGGCCCGTGAGATTTGCAGAGCTAAAGAATCGCGTTAGTGCCCTGTGCTGGGAGACTTGGCGTTAGTGCCCTGTGCTGGGAGACTTGGCGTTAGTGCTGTGCTGGGGGACTTGGTGTTAGTGCTGTGCTGGGGGACTTGGCGTTAGTGCTGTGCTGGGGGACTTGGCGTTAGTGCCCTGTGCTGGGGGACTTGGCGTTAGTGCCCTGTGCTGGGAGACTTGGCGTTAGTGCCCTGTGCTGGGAGACTTGGCGTTAGTGCCCTGTGCTGGGAGACTTGGTGTTAGTGCCCTGTGCTGGGGGACTTGGCGTTAGTGCCCTGTGCTGGGGGACTTGGCGTTAGTGCTCTGTGCTGGGAGACTTGGCGTTAGTACTGTGCTGGGAGACTTGGCGTTAGTGCCCTGTGCTGGGAGACTTGGCGTTAGTGCCCTGTGCTGGGGGACTTGGCGTTAGTGCCCTGTGCTGGGAGACTTGGCGTTAGTGCTGTGCTGGGAGACTTGGCGTTAGTGCCCTGTGCTGGGAGACTTGGCGTTAGTGCTGTGCTGGGAGACTTGGCGTTAGTGCCCTGTGCTGGGAGACTTGGCGTTAGTGCCCTGTGCTGGGGGGACTTGGTGTTAGTGCTGTGCTGGGGGACTTGGCGTTAGTGCCCTGTGCTGGGAGACTTGGCGTTAGTGCTGTGCTGGGAGACTTGGTGTTAGTGCCCTGTGCTGGGGGACTTGGTGTTAGTGCTGTGCTGGGAGACTTGGCGTTAGTGCTGTGCTGGGAGACTTGGTGTTAGTGCCCTGTGCTGGGAGACTTGGTGTTAGTGCCCTGTGCTGGGAGACTTGGCGTTAGTGCCCTGTGCTGGGGAGACTGGGGGGATCTGGTTTATGTCAGGCCACTGTCTTGGGAGAGCGGCGTGGCAGTATCTGTAAAATGCCAAATGCCCACACTCTCAAGCTGAATGATTTAGCTTCCGGTGAGCCAACCTACAACCTGACCATTGTGAACGCACGCCGTCTGCCCTGGGCGCCGCCTGCAATAAACCCTGAAAGCGGCCCAACGCAGAGGACCGTCCAGGGAACTCACAGGAGCCCCGGCAGCCAGGCCGTCGTCCCGGGTGCATACCACGTGGCGCGGCGTGATGGCGCTGTCGTAAAATCATCATAAGCTGTGTTTATCTGCACAGCAAAAAGTCTGGAGGGATCTCTGGCAAACTCAGCGGGGCCGGGGAGCTGGGAGGAGGAGCCCCGCCCTGAGGTATACATCGCGGAACTCCTAGCTTACTAAAAGTAGCACGGTTACCCTAACTATGCCGGGGTGGGGGCGGGGAGGGGAGTGCAGGCGCCGCCATGAAGACTTGGGAATAAAACTGGTGTTTAGGAGCCGCAGCTGGGAAAGCAGCCTGGAGACCCCCGCCCGCCCCGGCCCCGGGGGGCCCCGCCCCGGCCCCGCGCACCTGCGCACCTGCGCCGCTGCAGACCCCGCCCCCGCCCCGGGGGGTCCCGCCGGCCCCGCCCCACGCACCTGCGCCGCTGCAGACCCCGCCCCCCGCCCCGGGGGTCCCGCCGGCCCCGCCCCAGCGCACCTGCGCCGCTGCAGACCCCGCCCCCCGCCCCGGGGGGGGTCCCGCCGGCCCCGCCCCGCGCACCTGCGCCGCTGCTCGCAGAAGCCCAGCTTCTCCTGCAGCAGCCCCATGCGCATGTTGGCGCCCTCGTCCTCGGGGCTCAGCGCCAGCGCCTGCTGGTAGTCGGCCTCAGCAAAGGTCAGGTTGCCCAGCTGGAAGAAGCAGTCTGGGGACCAGGGGAGGGGGCGGAGTGTGGCCCCCGCCCCGACTTCCACGCCCGCGAGAGTCCCAGCCCGGCCCGCTGCAGCCCGGCTCCCTGTCCTGAGCGCCTCCCGGGCCGCGCGCCCGCCCGCAGCCTGGCGCGCCGCTCACCGCCGCGGTTGATGTAGAGCCCCTTCTCCTGCTGCTCATCCTTGAGGGCCTTGTTGAGCAGTAGCACGCCCTCCTGGTAGGCGCCCTGCATGTAGCAGTGCACCGCGAAGTCGTTGTAGGTCAGCAGCAGCTGGCGCTGCGCCGGCCGCACGACGTCCTGCAGGCTGCTGGGCACCATGTCCAGCGCCTTCAGGAAGTCCTCCACGGCCGCATCGAACTGCCCGAGCCGGCGGTACATGGTGCCCCTGCGGGCGAGGAAGGGGCAGGAGGCCCAAGCACTGCGGCGGCCGGGACGGGGGAAGCCCCACCTCCCGCACTGGGCTGTCCCGGGGGTCTGGCCCTGGCAAGCTGGCATTTCTCAAAAGCGGCTTCTCTCTTCCCCTTTGGAGGCCAGGCCTGAGCCACCCCAGGGTAAGGCCTTCTTCTCACACAGGACACGTTTAACTCCCGGGCCAGAACACCAGGCTCAAGGTTAAGTGACTTCGAGGCAAGTGGCAAGTCCCTGGGGAACCACCTTCCAGCCCGACTCCCGCCCCCTGCGCGGGGGGCCGACCCTCCAGCTCCCAGTGCTCGAAAGGCCTGGGGTTCCAGGAGCCCCAGGTTAGCCGCGAGGCTGGGCTGCTCTTCCAGGACCGGGGACAGAGACCACCTCTGCCATGCCCTGGCCCCAACAGACGCTGGCTGGGCAAACGGAGGCCTGGGGAGGGTCAGGGACTCCCCGCAAGACCACGAGCTGCCCCGGGGCAGGACAGTACCGGAAGAGGAAGAAGCTGGGGTCCAGGGGGTTGTTCTCGATGGCGCAGCTGATGCACAGCAGTGCGTGCTGCAGCTTGCCCTGCACGGCCAGGATCCCGGCGTCCTGGCGGGCCTGCTGGGCCTGCTGCACCATCGTCTTGAGCAGCAGCTTGGCCTGCACGTGCTTCGGGTTCAACAGCAAGGCGCTGTGCAGGTCCCGGTAGCACAGGCTGGGCTGAGGGGGGCAGGGGCAGCTTCAGCGGCGCAGGCCGGCCGGCTGAGCCCCACTGTGCCCAACAGAGGGGACGGAGAGGCGCCGGCCTCCGAGTGGGCAGGCAGGCGTCAGGCCACGCCCCTTCTCTGTCCACTGGTTCTGCCCCCTGTAGGAGGCAGGAGGCCCTGTAGGAAATGCCCACCCTGTGTCTCATGTTGCTTATTTACTTACTTTTTTTTTTTTTTTTGACAGGCAGAGTGGACAGTGAGAGAGAGAGAGAGACAGAGAGAAAGGTCTTCCTTTTGCTGTTGGTTCACTCTCCAATGGCCGCTGTGGCCGGCGTGCTGCAGCTGGCGCACCGCGCCTATCCAAAGGCAGGAGCCAGGTGCTTCTCCTGGTCTCCCATGGGGTGCAGGGCCCAAGCACTTGGGCCATCCTCCACTACACTTCCCGGGCCACAGCAGAGAGCTGGCCTGGAAGAAGGGCAACCGGGATAGAATCCAGAGTCCCGACCGGGACTAGAACCCGGTGTGCCGGCACCACAGGAAGAGGATTAGCCTAGTGAGCCGCGGCGCCGGCCTTTACTTACTATTTTTAAAAATGTATTTATTCATTTGAAAGGCAGAGTGACAGGGAGAGATATTGTACTTGCTACTTCACTCCCCTAAATGATCACAATAAGCCAGGAGCCAGGAACTCCATCCAGATCTCCCCTGTGGGTGGCAGGGGCCCAAGGACTTGGGCCATCTCCTGCAGGGGCTGGATCGGGAGCAGAGCCGACGGGACTCCAGCCAGCGTTTGATGTGGGAGGCCGGCGTCACCAGCGGCAGCTAAACCCGCTGCCCCCAGGTCCATTCTTGCTGGCCTTGGCCAGCCCAGCCTCACTGCTTCCTGCCTCCTTGTAGGACTTGTGCGGCGCTCTCCGTGGGGAAGGAGTGACCTCCTGACTGCGGCCGTCCCGTCCCCATCCGTCCTGTCCTCCCCCTGTACTCCCCCTTCCATGCCCTGACCCGTCAGCCCGAAAACAACCCTGAGCGAGACGGATTCAGGTCTGAGTGCGAGCAGAGCGCATCCCCGGCAAACGCAGCGGGCGCAGGGCAGCGGACACAGGGTGGCAGAGCAGCAGTTGCGGGGCGCAGGGCAGCGGGCGCAGGGGCGCAGGGCAGCAGTTGCAGGGGCACAGGGCAGCGGGCACAGGGTGGCAGAGCAGCGGTTGCGGGGCGCAGGGCAGTGGGCGCAGGGCAGCGGTTGCAGGGCAGCGGGCGCAGGGGCGCAGGGCAGCGGGCACAGGGGCGCAGGGCAGTGGGCACAGGGTGGCAGAGCAGCGGTTGCAGGGGCGCAGGGCAGCGGTTGCAGGGGCGCAGGGCAGCGGTTGCAGGGGCGCAGGGCAGCGGGCGCAGGGGCGCAGGGCAGCGGTTGCAGCCGGTGTTGGCAGACCTGGGAGGTTCTGGAAAGGCAGCAGCTGGGGGCGGGGCTCTGGAGGAGCTACCTGGTCTCAAGGACACTGCCCGTGTGACCGTGGACAAGGTCACCCTGGGCTGACTCTTCACTGGATCAACCTCGGAGGGTTTCTGGAGCAGAACTATACACACCTCGGGGAAGGGCGGGCACTGCCTAGTGGTCAAGTCGCTGGTAAGGCCCCCGTGTCCCGCCGTAGCAGCCCTCCTGGGCGTGGCCCCCAGCTCCGGCTCCTGACTCCAGCTTCCTGCTGGTGGCCCAAGTGACTGGGTCCCGCCACCCACGAGTGCCCTAGATTGAGTTCAGGCGCCTGGCTTTGGCCCTGGCCCAGGTTTAGCCAGAATGGGCATTTGGGGAGTGAACCAGAGGGCGGGGGAGCTCTCTCCGACATTCCAAACCAAACATGAGAAGTATGTGGAGCAGGCCTGGCTGGGCCGGCCGCGTGGACAATCACTGTCGGTAATTACTGCTCTTGGGCCTTTGAAGGTGTTGGGCCCTGAATCACTGGCAGGACGCTGGGGGTGTGGCCTGGGTGGGTGGGGGGGACAAGAGACACCATAGAAGGGCAGCGCCCATCTACCCACAGAATTGCAGGCTCACAGTCCCAACAGCCCAGGACACCCCCAGCAGCCGGAGGGAGGTGACCCCACCTCTTCCCTTCCTGTCCCTTCCTGTCCCCATCCCCCAGGCCAAGCCGGGACACCGGGGCTGTTCTGGATCCTTCCTGGCACCGCCCTGTGGCGCCTCTGCTCAGGGACCTTTCCTGCGTGGGCTCGGGTGACACGGGTCGCTGACCTGGGGGTTTCCAGGGGGTCCAGCAAAGGCCTGGCTGACCCTGAATGGGGACCGAGTGAGGACAGGACAACGCCCATGCTGGGGAGCTGAGTGGCCAAGGCTGATCAGGGTCTCTGCCCAGGGAGGACAGACCCCTCCCTGGCCCCCACTGCACCCTGGGGCATGACTGCTGGGCTGGCGGAGAGCCTGCCTCCTCCTGGGGTCCCAGGCTGCGAGCAGAGCCGGCTCCTGCCCCCTGCCCACTCGACCTTCTGGAAGGAGTTGTAGAGCCTGGCCCGGAGGACGTAGACATCGGCGTTGCTGGTGCCTTGCTGCACCTCCTTGGTGGCGAGGTTCAGGCAGTCATGGTGGCGTTTGAGGGCCAGGAGACAGGCCATGCTGGGGGCGGAGGGCACAGGTGCTCTCTGTGTCCCGGGGAGGAGCAGGAGGGGCCGCTGGGAGGCGGGGCGGCCGGGACTCACCATCGGTACCGGAAGCAGGGCTTCTCGGGCTGGAGCTCGGAGGCCTGGGAGAAGATGTTCAGGGCGTCCAGGAAATCACACTGCTCATACAGGCACTGGCCCTGGGGGGCGAGGACAGTGGCCTCAGCAGCTGACCTCGGCTGTGCCCCTGGGGGACCGGGGCAACACAGGGCCGGAGCCTTTGGATCTGGGAGAGACTAACAGAGATACAGGAAGGCAGGAAGAAGTGGTGAGAGGCACAGGGTTGGCGGGAGACAGCAACAGAGAGCCTGGGAGGCGGAGCTAAAAGTTCCCGGCTCTGGGTGCAGAGCCCTGCGCTTCTCTCACTGGCACCACCAAGCCGCTCCCTCTGGAACGAGGGAACAGAGGCTCCGAGAGGTGAAGCCACTTTCCCAAGGTCACACAGGAAGTGACAGGGCGGGAACCTGGCCCCCAGCAGACGGATTAAGCACACGGTCTGGGCAACTGTGCTATTTAGTACCACAGCCACTAGCCGCACACTGCTATGGGAGCGTCAATCAATCAAGTTAAGGGGAGGCTGGCACAGGGTAAGACGCCCAGGTCCCTTGTCAGAGCGCCCTGGTTTGCTCCCAGGTCCAGGGCCGATCCTGGGAGGCACCGGAACCGCCCATGCAGAAGATCTGAATTCCCGGCTCCCATCATCAGCCGAGAGGGTGAACCAGCAATGGGAGCTGTCTGTCTGTCCGTCTGTCCATCTGTGTCTCTCACATAAAAACAAGGAAATCAATTAAACTAAAAATTCAGCTGCTCAGTCCTACTTGCCAAAGCTCAAGGGCTCAGGGGTTCCACACAGCGAGTGGGCGCCGCCGCAGGGAGTTCTACTGGGCCGTGCCATAGGACCTTCCCCACCCCAGTAGTAAGCCAGCTCTGCAGGTGGGGACGGACAGGGACACGGAGCCCTCGCGCGGCCAGTGCTGTGGTGCAGTGGACAGCCGCCCCTGCACGCCTGCATCCCTGAGCGCAGCTCCAGCCCCTGCTAATGCACCCGGGAAAGCAGCGGACGGCTCAAGGGCTCGGGCCCCTGCCCCGCGTGGGAGACCCGGATGGAGCGCCCGGCCCCTGGCTCTGGCCTGGCTCAGCCCCTGCTGCTGTGGCCATTTAGAGAGTGACCCGGGGGGTGGATGCAGATCTTTTTTTTTTTCTCTGTGTCTAATTCTGCCTTTCAAATAAAGCAATAAATCTTTAAAAAAATATAACGGCCGGTGCCGTGGCTCACTAGGCTAATCCTCCACCTTGCGGCGCCGGCACACCGGGTTCTAGTCCCGGTCGGGGTGCCGGATTCTGTCCCGGTTGCCCCTCTTCCAGTCCAGCTCTCTGCTGTGGCCCGGGAGTGCAGTGGAGGATGGCCCAAGTGCTTGGGCCCTGCACCGGCACGGGAGACCAGGAGAAGCACCTGGCTCCTGGCTTCAGATCAGTGCAATGTGCCCGCCGCGGCGGCCATTGTGGGGTGAACCAACAGCAAAGGAAGAGCTTTCTCTCTGTCTCTCTCTCTCACTGTCCACTCTGCCTGTCAAAAGTAAATATATATATATATATATATATATATATATATATCTGAAAAGAGGATCCCCGGGGAAGATGGAGTTGGTTCCGGGAACAAGGAACGGCCCCGGGCTGGAGGGGGAGGCGGCCGTGCCAGGAGAGCGGCCGGAGCCGTGCGGGGCCGGGGAGCTCCGGGCACCTGCAGGTACAGCACGAAGGTGAGCCGCTCCAGGTACACGGCGTTCTCCGGCTGCGCGGAGTAGGCCCTTCGAAGGTTCTGGGCAGCCGACGAGAAGTCGCAGAGCTGGATGTAGGCCTCGGCCCGTAAGGCATAGAAGTCCACCTAGGGCGAGGGGCCCCGTTGCCCTCGGGGCTGGGGGAAGGCTCCCCTGGGGCAGCGACTCGTGGGACCGGCACTGGCCAGCGCGGGGGGAGTGCGGGCAGCCCCTGCCTGCGTCCACGCAGGCCCCTCACCAGCTCGGAGTCCAGGTGGAGGGCGCGGGAGCAGAACAGCACCGCCAGCTCCCAGTCCTCCTGTTGCAAGCACCTCTGGCCTCGGTAGTAGCTGTTGGGGCGGGGGAAACGCGGGCAGAGGTGCGGAGGGGCCGGCCCGGCAGACGGCTGGGGTTCAGGGGGGTGGAGGCGGATGGGGGTAGGCAGAGACCCGGGGAGGGCGGACTGGGGTCCTTGGGAGACTCCTCTGGGCCAGCAGTCCCGGATGTTCTGGGGGGGCCACGGCGGAGTTCCCCGAGGGGAGCTGGCTGTGGGCTGTGTGGGCGGGACCAGGGTGCAGACAAGGCGGGCACTCACTACTCCCTGACTTTGAAGGGCACTGAGACCCCCGCGACCTTCGGTCTCGTCTCCTTGGACACGTGGAACACCTGGCTGGTCCCGAAGACCCGCTGCACATTCCCCTTGGGGGCCGGGATCACCCACGGCTTCTGGACGGTCTGGGAGGCCGCCTGGAAGATGGCCTGGTAGTGCTCCAGTGCGCTCTAGAGCCAGGGGTCAGCAAGTGGGGCGGGCCTCAGAGACACAGCCCCAGGCACTCTGCACAGTGGGGGGACAGTCCCCACTTCCAGCCCCTCCCCGGGGCGCTCCCCCCTCTCCCTCCAGTCCTGCCTCTCTCCTCCCGAGGTCAAGGTCAGGGGTCAGAGGCCTTGCCAGCTCCTACTTCCAGCTACTGACACCCAAAGCTCCAATGCTGCCAGCTCAGGCCCCGCCCCCTAATCGCTGGCCCTTAGCTGTCCCGTGGGACCCTCACGCCCAGCAGGTCACTCCAGGCCGCCTTCCAGACCCCCCAGCCACGGCGGCCGGAGCCCTCTATCTCATCAGTCCTCAGGCCTGCCTCAAAGTCTCTCAGGTCTCGCGTCTTCCTTCTCCCAGGCCCCTCATCCGGGCCAGCGCGATCTCTGGACACCATCTCAGCCACGCGTCCCAGGCCGCCGTTGTCCTCAGAGTCCAGAGCCCGCCCTGAATTGCACTACCGACCCCGCTCCGCCCACACTTCACGCCTTTGCCGCGAACGCAGCCCTGGCCCCTCCGCCTCGGCTCCCCAGCCCCCACCTCGCCGGAGTTGGTCATCGCGCCCCTTCCGGAGGGCTGCGGCCCCGCCCCCTGCGTTGCTAGGCACCGTCTCCGGGACGCTCACAGGCCCCGCCCCAGAGTTGCTAGGCACCGCCTCCAGGACGCTCACAGGCCCCGCCCCAGGGCCCAAGGCCCCGCCCCCAGGACCCGCGGACCCTCAGGAAACTTTTATTAGCTAGAAAGGTTGAGGCCTACAGCCGGGAAGGAGCTCGCAGGGCTCCCGCAGCCAGGCGGGGCCACGCGAGGGGAATGACAAGGCTCCCACCTCCCACGGCGAGGGTCAAGCGAGGGCTCCGAGACTGCCTCGGGCAACCCCACAGGCCCCGGCCACGCCGCGCCCCCAAGCGCGCGGGGGCGCCCGACACGGCCCCGCCCCGCCTCTTCCGCCTTTCTGAGGCGCGGCGGCCGCGCAGCCTGGCCCTGATTGGGCGTCTCTGGACAGGCGGCGACGCGATTGGCCACAGGCGGAATGACGTCAGGGCCGGGGTCCGGCGTGAATAGGGGCGGCATGGCGCCGCCCGGCCTCTTACGCTCCTGGCTGGGGCAGAGCCGGGCCATGAGCCTGGCCATGAGCCGGTGCGTCTTGGAGCCCCGGCCCCCGGGGAAGCGGTGGCTGGTGAGTAGCGCGGCGATGGAGGGGCTGGCGGGCCCTGGCCCCAGTGCTGCCATTGTTCCCAGGCAATTTCCCCCAATTGCCCGCTCGGTTTTCCTATCTAGAAAGCGGGTCCGATGCTGTCAGGCTCCCCGGTCTCCGGGGCTGTCCGGGCCCTCTCCAGCCCTGGTCTCCGTCTCCCCTCCCCTGCGCGGTCGGCAAGGCCAGCGTCGTGGGCCTCAGTTTCCCCGTGCCGCCCACAGGTGGCTGGCCTGGGCAACCCCGGCCTGCCCGGGACGCGGCACAGCGTGGGCATGGCGGTGCTGGGGCAGCTGGCGCGGCGGCTGGGTGTGGCGGAGAGCTGGGCGCGCGACCCGCGCTGCGCCGCCGACCTCGCCCTGGCGCCGCTCGGGGACGCCCAGCTGGTGCTGCTGCGGCCTCGGCGGCTCATGAACAGCAACGGGCGCAGCGTGGCCCGGGCCGGTGAGTGGCGGGCGCCCGGGGCGGGGGGCCGGGAGGGCCTCGGGTTCTAACGTGCGTTACGTGGGCTGAACTGCGGCCCCCCTGGGCAGATGGGCATTAACGAGGCCACCGTCTTCCCGTGCCAAGCCGAGTTGTTCGGGCTCACCGCCGACGCGGTCTACCTGGTGCACGATGAGCTGGACAAGCCTCTGGGGAAACTGGCCCTCAAGCTGGGCGGCAGTGCCAGGTGAGACCGGGGCTGCCCAGGGTTGGGTAGGGACGCGGGCGTCCCGGTTCAGGGGGTGGCCCCTGGGAGCCCGGCCGGGGGTGCGGGTGGGGGGCAGCCCGGCAGGGTGGTGACAGGACACTCACCGCCCCCCCATGTCCCGGTACAGGAGGTGGCCCCTGGGAGCCCGGCCTGGGGTGGGGGTGGGGGGCAGCCCAGCAGGGTGGTGACAGGACACTCACTGACCCCGCCATGTCCCGGTACAGGAGGTGGCCCCTGGGAGCCCGGCCTGGGGTGTGGGTGGGGGCAGCCCGGCAGGGTGGTGACAGGACACTCACTGCCCCCACCATGTCCCAGTACAGGAGGTGGCCCCTGGGAGCCCGGCCTGGGGTGCGGGTGGGGGGCAGCCCAGCAGGGTGGTGACCGGTCACTCACTGCCCCCCCATGTTCCTTGAAGGGGCCATAATGGAGTCCGCTCCTGCATCAGCTGCCTCAACTCCAGTGTGAGTCCCCCCCGCCCCGTGTGCTGTATCGGGAGTGGGGTGGCTGTGTGGGGTCCCCAGTGCGCCTCACCCCCGGCTCCCTGACAGGCCATGCCAAGGCTGCGGGTGGGCATCGGGCGCCCCGCGACCGCCGACGCCGTGCAGGCCCACGTGCTGGGCAGGTTCTCCCCGGCCGAGCAGGAGCTGCTCCCTCTGCTGCTGGACCGGGCCACTGACCTGCTCCTGGACCACATCCGAGAGCGGAGCCAGGGGCCCGCCGTCGGCCCGTGACGCCACAGCCACAGCGGCCGGCCCGGCCCTGCCCTGCCCGGCGCCCACGCCCCAGCCCCGGCCACAGAGCCGCCAGGCCTGCTGTGCTGCCGCTTTTATACAACTTTCCCAGAGACGAACGGGGCCCGAGGTGGCGTCCCAGGCCCGACGGCGGTCCTCTCGGCAGCCTACTTGGGGTGCAGGAAAACTTCGGGGAGGCTAAACTTCTTGAGCCTTTTTAGGATACTGGCAGTGTGGATCTGCAAGGGTAAAGACGCCTGCTTTAGATTAAAGACGGGGTGGGCACGTGGCCGAGCGGGGAGCACGCTGCTTGGGACGCTCACGTCCCACATCCGAGTGCCTGGGTCCCAGTCCCAGCTCTGCTTCCTGCGCATGCGCCAGCAGGGAGCGCTGCAGGCAATGGCTCCCACTCAGGAGACCCAGGCCAGCCCGGCCCCTGGCTCCAGGATCTGGCCCGGTCCGGCCCGGTCCGGCCCTGGCTGCCTGGGCTCTCTGATGTCTGTCTCTGTGTCTCTCTGCCTTTCAATTAAGTAAGTACCTTTTTAAAAAGCAATTCTTGGGGGCTGGCGCCGTGGCTCACTTGGCTAATCCTCCGCCTGTGGCGCCGGCATCCCATGTGGGCACCGGGCTCTAGTCCCGGCTGCTCCTCTTCCAGTCCAGCTCTCTGCTGTGGCCCAGGAGGGCAGTGGAGGATGGCCCAAGTGCTTGGGCCCTGCACCCGCATGGGAGACCAGGAGAAGCACCTGGCTCCTGGCTTCGGAACGGACGGCCATTTGGGGGGTGAACCAATGGAAAAGGAAGACCTTTCTCTCTGTCTCTCTCACTGTCTAACTCTGCCTGTCAAATAAAAAAAAATGTTAAAAAAATAAAAAGTGATTCTTGGTTCACTAGAAGAGACATGGCTGGTTGGAAGGTGACGCGACTTGATGGAGCCCGGGCCAGCAGGGTCCAGCAGGCCCCTCCAGGGGGCGCAGGGGTTGCCTCAGTCTCCCCCGGCACTGCCACACCTCTCTTCTGCCCACTTCACAGACAGGGCCGGGCCAGCCCCAGCCCCAGCCTCTAGGCCACACAGCTACCCAGCAGAGCCCCAGCTTGCGCTAGACTGGGTCTGGGCACTCACCTCGGGGCTGCTGTGCGCACGGACTTTGCCCACGCGGGTGACGTAGGAGAGCAGCCTGAGGTCCTGAGGGTTGGGGGGGACGTGGAACCGGCGAGGAACCAGACCCAGGTCCCCCGGCTGGTAGGCCGTGATGCCGGACAGCTGCTGCAGCAGGGCGCGTGCCCTGGGTGCCTGGGTGCCAGGCCGGCTGCGGGGAGACGGGCAGCCGGGGAGTCAGCCGGCCGAGCCGGGTGTGGCCGGAGGTGCGCTGAGGACAGGTCCCCCCCACCCCCAAAGGGGCCGCCCACTCACCTCCCCGGCTGTGCGTCGAGGGGCTGGGCCTCCTGGACAGCCCCCCGCCCACTCACCTCCCCGGCTGCGCGCCGAGGGGCTGGGCCTCCTGGACAGCCCCCCGCCCACTCACCTCCCCGGCTGCGCGCCGAGGGGCTGGGCCTCCTGGCGGCGGCAGGCAGGCACCTGGGCCGTGCGGACGGCGGCGGCGCTGAGCAGGGCCAGCAACTGGCGCAGCATCTCCTTGCGCTGCAGCTGGAACACCACGTCAAAGTCGCCGTCGTCCCCCTCTGCTCGCATCTGCCGGTGGGGCCGGGGGTGGCATCAGGCCCGCGCTGGCCCCGAGACTCACCCACCTCGGGGACACTCCGTCCTCAGTGCCTGTTGGCTGAGAATCCCCTGATCGGGCAGGATATACCCATTTTCTGTTTTGGAAGACTGAGGCCCAAGGCTTTCCAGACCTCGAAGGAAGGAACCCAGTGCCTTTGACTTCACAGGGACCTTTGCGGTCCAGAGTCAGAAGACAGATTGGTCAGGAGTCCCTGGGTGGGGGGGCACCTGGGCCTGGCCGCAGCCCCGTCCCCCCGGGGGCCCGATCTCAGCTGCTTCCGTCCCGCCCCCGGCTTCCCGCGTACCTGCAGAATGTCCCGCAGGAAGGCAGTGGCCCGGGCCAGGGTCATCTCCAGCCTGGCCCGCAGCTCCTGCTCCTCGGTCAGCTCCTGCTGTAGCCGCCGCACCTCCCCCTTCTGCCGCTCCAGCTGCAGGTCCAGCTGCTCCTTCTGGGCCCTGGGCCCCGGGTGGGAGGGGTCAGCAGCTGCCAGCACCTAGGCCACGCCCCCCTCGGGTCTCTCCGGCCCCGGAGCGGGGGATGCCGGAGGCTGGCGCCCTCTGCGGGCCGGCGGGCGCACCTCAGTGCCTGGTCGTCCGTCTGCAGCTGCACGAAGTCCTGCTCCAGCTGGTTCAGCAGGAGCCGCAGCCGCCCGGCCTCCGCCGCGTCGCCCTGCTGTCTGCGGCACTTGTCAGTCAGCATGAGGATGATCTACAGGGGCGGGCGGGGGGCCGTGCTGGGCCACGGTGGGCTCTCAGCCAGCTCCGGCCCCCGCTGGCCGCTGGGCTGAGCCCCAAGGCCCCCAGGGGCGGGCTCACCAACCCACAGGGGCTTTGAAGGGGGTGAGGACAACGCTCCCAGGAGGAGGCTCCCGCCCGCACGGCCGCCTCCCGGTGGGTCCCCCCCGCCCAGGGCTGGGTGCGGTGCGCTCGCAGGGCGCCAGGCGCACCTTCTGGTGGCCCCGGCTGTGCCTGGCCATGATCTCCTGGCTGCCCTGCAGCAGCTGCAGCTGCTGGCACAGCTCGGCCCGGCTGCCGTGGAGCTGGTCGTTCTCGCGCTGGAGCTGCAGGCCCTGCCGGGACACCCTGGCCAGCTGCAAGGTCACGCTGTTGTTCTCCAGGATGGCCCGCTTGGTGGTCTCCCACATCTGCTTGCTGGCTGTCTTGCGGAACTCGCTGGCCACCAGGTTCACGCGCTGGATGATCTCCTTCTGCAGTCTGCGCAGGTTGGGGGCCGGGGCGCGGGCTCAGGCGGCGGCCGGGGACGGGTGGGAGACACCTGTGGGCTCGCCGGGGCAGGGAACCTCTCCCCGCAGCCCCGCCAGCCCCTTGCATCACTGTTCAATCAATAGAGTACTTCCCCCCGACACCCCCCACCAAATGGCAAAAGGACCCCCCCCCCCCCGGGACTCTGCTGGCAGCAGCGTGAGGACTGGGACCGGGCGCTGGTCACGCACTCCCTCCCCGGGCGGGAGCAGCGGGCTGGGGGCCGGCGGCACCGACCTGTCCTTGTCCAGCACCGACTTCTTCTCCAGTCTGTACATGTAGTCCCTGTACTCGGTCTCCTGCCGCTGCAGCTGGTCCTCCAGCAGCGTGAACCTCTCCGTGAGCTCCTCCTTCTGCAGCCGGAACTCCTCCAGGGCTGCCAGCTTGCCCCCTGCCGACAGCCCCAGGGCGGGAGGCCTGATGAGGGCCGCCTCGTGGACGCCCCCGGGGTCTCCGTCCCTTCCTCCTGTAGTCCCCTAGCCAGCTGCCTGCTTCAGGGCGGCTCTGGCGCGCTGGGCCTGCCCCTGCCACGCCCCTGGGCCCTGTCTGCCCCTGCCGCCTTCAGCTGGAATGGCCTCCGCGTCCCCTCCAAGCTCGCAAGGCCGGGTTCGGGTTCCGCCGCCTCCTGTCTCTCAAAGGGGACAGCAACAGCAGCCACTGAATTTCAGCTCCTTCTCTGGGCCCGACCAGAATCCATTCCGGCTGGGCGACCTTGGGCAAGGCACTTGACCTTCTGAAGGTGCTGTCTCATCTACAAACGGGGGACGGGGTGACGACGCTTCCCGCCTCGCTGGGTTGCGGGGACCATACGTGCGCGACCCAGCCCGAGACACCGTGCCCGTGTTCCACGCGAGAAAAGTGAGGGTGGGCGAGCGGCGCCGGGCCACAGGTGCAGTCGGGGCCCTGCTCACCGAGGGCGATGTTCTCCGACGTGAGCTGGTCCTTGGTCTCCTGGAACTCGTGCCGCACCTGGGCCAGCTGCGCCTCAAAGGCGTCTTTCTCCAGCTCCTTGGCCAGCTGCAGGCTCTGCAGCTGCTCGTTCAGGTCCGCGATCTCGTCCATGCGCTGGCCGAGCGTGCGCTTGAGGAAGGCCACGATCTCCTTCTTGCTGTTGGCCAGCTGCTCCAGCTCCTGGCGCAGCAGCTTGTCCTGCGCGGCCAGCTCGTCCCACTTCCGCTGGTACCTGGGCCAGGACGGGGCAGAGGTCCGGGCGGAGGCCAGAACTTGGACTCAGCGTGACCCTGAGCCGAGGCTCTTGGCCACAGGCCCGCCGCCGCCACCGCCAGCTCTGCATCTCTACCCCCCCCCCATGCACCTGTCACCGTCCCCCACCCTTGTCCATTGAGGAAGCCTGGTGCTGCCGGCTCGGACCCCCGTTGGCCCTCTCTTTGGTGACAGCGCGTGACAATGTCCCTCCCCTCCGCGTCTGAGGGCTGGTGAGCAGGCAGCACCCCACAGCTCCTCCTCAACCCGCTCCATCTGCTGCCTCAGTTTGGATTTTAAGAGCATTGCAAGCGACTTCCAGGTTTCCGGAAGAATAACCGAGGCCCTCCTGCAAATGGTTTTACTTCGCTTATTCAGCCCCCATCTTTGGCATGGCACTAAGGGGGTGTGGACCACGTGGGGCTTTGTGGAGCGAGGAAGCAGCCTGGACCTGGGGCTCAGGGGGCCAGGGCTCCCGCCTCAGTACCTCAGCTTCCTGGCGGGGGTGGGGGCGCCGCCTCCTCTGAGCCTCAGTCCCTCCCTCCCCCACCCCGTCCAGGCAGTGGGGATGGCACAGCGCCTCTCTCGGGCTGTTGCTATAAAGGTGGTGAGCATCCGCCCAGGGCCCGCCAGCTGCACACAGAGAACCCAACACCAGCTGCCCCCGCAGCAGGGACCACCTGGGAAGAGCCACTGCCCGCCTGTGGCCTTAAATGCCACTCTCACATGGGGACTGATGGCTCGTAGCTGGGAAACCAGAACAGTGAGAACCACGGGCAAGGGGCAGGTACTGGGTGGAGCCGTCCGCGTCCTCTGTAGGAATGCCTGATTCCAGCTTCCTGCTAACGTGGTGACGGCTCAGGTTATTGGGGTCCCCGCCACCCATGTAGGAGACCCGGATGGAGTTCCTGGCTCCCTGGTTTGGCCTGGCCCAGCCCTGGCTGTTGCGGGCATTTGGGGAGTGAACCAGTGGATGAGAGAGCTCTGTGTCTCTGTCCCTCAGCCTTTCAAATACATACATACACGAAGCTTTAGGAAGACGGGCAAGTGGACATATCCCCAGACGCAGGGTTCGAGGCACCCCCGCCCCGTGTCCTCATCACACCGGGTGCCAGCCCGAGGATGGAATGTCCCGGTGCGGGGAGAGAACCAGCCTCATTTCCAGGTGGGGGGACCAAGGGCTCAGCAGCTGGGTGACTCAGAGGGGTGCAGGCAGCAGCCCCTCTCGGGGGGCCAGGAGGACCGTGGAGCCCACCCCTGGCCAGGCGGCTGCCATCCCCGGCCATGCCACCCACTAGACTAGACTGCCCTTCCATAGAGGGCAAGAGTGCGGCTGATCTGGGTGGGACTCAGCGTTGGGGTCGCAGCGCTCCGGGAGCCCAGAAGGGGCCGGGAAATCTGTGCACCTGCCAAATCGCGCGGCTTCCCACTGTTACCTAAAAGGACACTGGGGCTGGGGTGGGGATGGGGTCTGTGCATCCCGCGGGAGACCTGGACACCCGTCCAGGGCCCCGGCCCACCCAGCAGCACTGCGAGCCCGCTGCGCGCCCACCCACCGGGCCAGCCTGTCCTCCAAGTCTCGGATCTGGATGAGGAAGAACTCCCGCGTCTCCTCGGACAGAGGCATCTCCGTGGGCTTGAGGGTCACGGGGAGATCCTTCCTGCCCCCTTTCTTCTTCTTGACCTCGGGCTCCTTGCCCACCCTGCTAGCCTTCTTTTTGGGAGCCATGGCTGATGGCGCCCACTGCTCCAAGGCCCCTTTAACAGGTCAGGTGGTTGCTAAGGAAGTTGGTCCTGTACATAGCAACAGACCAAGGCCATGCGGCTGGGCTTAAAGGGCCCCTGCCCTCTTCCTGGCCGGGCACCTGCGCCCTCGGAAGGCAGACAGCGTGCCTGAGGCCATGGCCCGGGTAGCTGGTGTCAGGTGCTCCTTCAGGGTCCGGGGAAACCCCTGCTTCCCCCAAGAGGAAGTAAGCTGCATGGGGAATACTGGAGAGTGCTGGGGCCTTGGAGACCACCAGCCTGCCCCCTGTGCTGACTAGAAGGGTGTGACTTTCCCACGGCCACCCAGGGCCGGAAGCAGCTGTGCCTGGCTCCAGCCGCTTGCCACCACCTTGTCAACTCTTTTTGTTTGTAAAAGACCTATTTATTTGAGAAGCAGAGGGGCCAGCGCTGTGGTGTAGGGGTTTAAGCAGCTGCCTGCAATGTCAGCATCCCATGTGGGCGCTGGTTCAAGTCCTGGCTGCTCCGCTTCCGACCCACTTCCCTGCTAATGCGCCTGGGAAAGCAGCAAAACATGACCTAGGTGCTTGGGCCCCTGCACCCATGTGGGAGACCCGGAAGAAGCTCCTGGCTCCTGGCTTTGGCTGGCCCAGTCCTGGCCTTTGCTGCTATTTGGGGAGGAGTTGAACCAGCAGATGAGTATCTTTCCACTCTGTCTCTTCTCCTCTCTCTATAATTTTACCTTTCAAAGAAACAAATATAAAAAAAAATATAAAAAAATGCACAGTGAGAGAGAGAGAGAGAGAGAGAGAGATCTTCTGTTTGCTGGTTCACTCCCCAAGGGGCTACAATAGGCAAGGCTGGGACAGGCCGAAGCCAGGGTCCAGGAGCTCCACCTGGGTTTCCCATGTGAGTGGCAGGGCCTTGAGCACTTGGGCCACCTTCTGCTGCCTTCCCAATGCTTCAACAGGGAGCTCGATCAGAAGTAGGCGGCTGGGACTCCAACTGGTGCTCTGGGGTGGGCACCGGCCTTGCATGCGGACGGCGGCTTCACCCGCCCCGCCGCAACGCCGCCCCGTCTTGTCAGTTTCTTGCTGACGCCCCTCCATGGCAAAACCAGCCTTCCTGCTTCTTCCAGAGGGGGCTGGGGCAGGCGGGCAGGTAAGAAGGGGCCTTTTATGGTGGAGGCTCCCAAGCTGGGTTCCTGGGGCACCCTGGTCGGGGGCTGCAGAGGGTCTGCCCATCCAGCAGTGACCAAGGCACACAAAGCCCATTTTGTGGCTTTTGGCCCGGGGCAGGGGAGCAGTAGGTGTCTAACTGGCAGATGCCCTGGTTGGCAGCTGTGTGCCCGCAGGCTCTGCCTCCAGCCCTGCCCCTGGGCCGTGGCTGCGTGCCTGCTCCTGTCTCCCACTGAGACCGCGGCCAGGTCCTCTTTGTCCCTCTAGTCCCAGGTCTCGGCAGTTGGCAGGGGATGGCCTGGTTCCACCTGACAGTCTGATGCACAGGTGGGGGAGGCACAGTGGGCCTCAGCAAGTGTGCTGCGCTCAGGCAGGCAGAGCTGGTGAGCAGGAGGACCCTCGGGGTGGGTGGGAAGCATGTGTTTGCCATGGGCACTGGGTGGGCTGCAGAGGGGCTTGCTTGCTTAAAAGTGGGCTCCGGGGCCGGCGCCGCAGCTCACTAGGCTAATCCTCCGCCTAGCGGCGCCGGCACACCGGGTTCTAGTCCCGGTTGGGGCACCGGATTCTGTCCCGGTTGCTCCTCTTCCAGGCCAGCTCTCTGCTGTGGCCAGGGAGTGCAGTGGAGGATGGCCCAGGTGCTTGGGCCCTGCACCCCATGGCAGACCAGGAAAAGCACCTGGCTCCTGGCTCCTGCCATCAGATCAGCGCGGTGCGCCGGCCGCAGCACGCCGGCCACGGCGGCCATTGGAGGGTGAACCAACGGCAAAGGAAGACCTTTCTCTCTGTCTCTCTTTCTCACTGTCCACTCTGCCTGTCCAAAAAAAAAAAAAAAAAAAAAAAAAAAAAGTGGGCTCCGGTTGGGCCCTGGGCCAGTGTCCTGGACTCTCTGAGCTGTGAAATGGGGAAATCAGCTGCGGATGGAGCCGTACCTTCTTTTTTTTTTTATATAAATACTTGATTTATTTATTTGAGAGGTAGAGTTACAGACAGAGAGAGGTCTTCCATCCGCTGGTTCACTCCCCAAATGGCCGCAACGGCTGGAGCTGCGCCGATCCGAAGCCAGGAGCCAGGAGTTTCCTCCGGGCCCCCTACGCGGGTTCAGGGGCCCAAGGACTTGGGCCATTCTCCACTGCTTTCCCAGGCCACAGCAGAGAGCTGATTGGAAGAGGAGCAGCCGGGACTAGAACTGGCGCCCACATGGGATGCTGGCGCCGCAGGCCAAGGCTCAGTCCGCTACACCACAGCAGCAGGTGGGACCCGCGCTGCTCGGTCTCTCCCAGGGTGCCCGTTCCCTGCAGCAGGGACCATCCTGGGAGGGCAGAAATGCGCCCGCAGGAGGCAGCGGCACTGGGATTCTGGCGTGAGCCGCACGTGCCGACCGCGGTGACATGGGGGGCCCCATGGCAGGCCTGGCCGGTGCCCAAGTTCCAGGACCTGCAGAGCGCTGCCCCTCCCGGCCTGTGCGTGGTCACTGTGTCCCTGCCTGAGCAGCTCCTCCTTGCAGAAGCCTGGCCAGGCCTAGGGGCTCCTGGGGCCCTCAGCCGCCCCTCTGCCTCCCCACAGAGCCCTTCTGCTTCCTTCTTCCCCCGCCCTCATCTCAGGGTGTGGCTCTAATTTTCAGCGCAGCAGAAGACAGCAGCTCTGCCCCCCACCCCCAGCCTGGAGCCCACAGAGTCCTGAGGCCTGACCCTGCAGCTCGGGGATGCTGGTTCCTGAGCTGGGGCCACACCTCCCCCACCCCGTAATCCTATCAACCCACCTGTCAATCAGACTACGTGACCACTCCCCTTTTCAAAACTCTGAAGCAGTTGGTGAAGGGCTGGGCTGGCCCTCGCCCCTCAGGGACCCAGGAAAAGCTGGGTGTGGACGTGGCTCTCCCCTTCCTGGCCCCCTCTCCCTGCACGAAGCCCTCGTGTTCCTGTGTCATCGCCTCATCCTGTGATGGGCCTTATCAGGATCCACACCACGCTGTGCCTGCACTTAGAATTCTACTCCCAGTAAAAGGCAAGAGCCTGAGATAGGCCTTGGAGTCTAACCTAGCCCACAACACCGGGGGACAGGGCCAGGCTTACCAACACGGCTGCAGTCACAGGGCAAGAGTGACCAGCTGGGGGCTGGCGCTGTGGCGTAGCGGGTAAAGCCTCCGCCTGCAACGCGGGCATCCCATATGGGCACTGGTTCAGGTCCCGGCTGCTCCTCTTCCAATCCAGCCCCCTGCTAATGTGCTCGGGAGAGCAGTGCAAGATGGCCCAAGTGCTTGGGCCCCTGCACCCACGCGGGAGACCTGGAAGAAGCTCCTGGCTTTGTTAGGCAGGAAGTTAGGTATGAGCTTATGTGTGTGTGACAAAGGCCTCCGGAGAAGACTCCTACGTCCAACATTTTCATCTGCATCTCCAAGTCATCCCGATAATGCTTCAGGGGCAGCCCAGTGTTCCCATCCTGCCCTGCCCCCTCCTACCCGATAACCTGCCAGGTGGGGGCCCCGCCCCTTCTGCCTGACAAATCTCCCACAATCTCCCAGGTGCAGCCCAGTGTCTGCATGTCAAACACCCTGCTCCGGATCCCCATTCTCTAGGGGGTCCTGCTCACCCTTCCTCTGAACCCAGGATGGCCCAGCTAGGCTTCCTCCTGTCTGATACCTTCAGGGAAAACTCAGATAGGAGCTTCTTAATATTTACAGCCATAAAACCCTTTGTTTGGGAGATGTGTGAAGACAAAGACCCATCTCCTTAAAAACCCCCGGCCTCAACCGGACTGCGCGCTCAGCCCTCTGCCTCTATGCTAAGTCGCCCGCCTGCCTGGCCAGGTGTCATCTCTCCACTCAACCATGTAACCTCGCTCCTTCCCCTGTCCGAGCGACGGCTCTCTCCCCCAGGTCCTGTCTGGAGAGGTGCCCATCCGTTCTTGCGGTTGTCCCTACCCTCATAAACTCTGCTACTTCTACTTTCCACTACTGCCTCACACCTGAATTCTTTCTTGCGTGAAGACAAGAACCCTCCAATTTTCTCCGGTAACAGCTTCAGCCTGGCCCAGCCCTGGCCATTGTGGTCATTTGGGGAGTGAACCAGCAGATGGAAGATTCTTCTCTGTCTCTTTCTGTAACTCTCAAATAAACAGTCTTTTTTTAAATAAAGAAAAGAAAGAGGGAGCAGCTGTGTTACCGGTGAATGGCAGGGTTCTTGTCTTCGCGCAAGAAAGAATTCAGGCGTGAGACAGAGTAGTGGAAAGTAAAAAGTAGCAAAGTTTATGAGGGTAGGGACATCCCCAAGAACGGATGGGCACCTCTCCAGACAGGACCTGAGGGGGAGGGTTTAAGGGGGGGGTTTAAGGAGATGGGTCTTTGTCTTCACACATCTCCCAAACAAAGGGTTTTATGGCTGTAAATATTAAGAAGCTCCTATTTGAGTTTTCCCTGAAGGTATCAGACAGGAGGAAGCCTAGCTGGGCCATCCTGGGTTCAGAGGAAGGGTGAGCAGGACCCCCTAGAGAATGGGGATCCGGAGCAGGGTGTTTGAAATGCAGACACTGGGCTGCACCTGGGAGATTGTGGGAGATTTGTCAGGCAGAAGGGGGGGGGCCCACCTGGCAGGTTATCGGGTAGGAGGGGGCAGGGCAGGATGGGAACACTGGGCTGCCCCTGAAACATTGTCAGGATGACTTTAAGATGCAGATGCATATGCTGAACACATGGCCTGTTACACACACATAAGCTCATATCTGACTTCCTACCTACCAGCTAGACCTCCAGGCCAGCCTCCCCGGGGTGGGGGTGGGGACGGGGAGACTGCAGGTGGGAGAGTCTCCCCAAAGCACCCCATTCTGGGGCCCAGGGACATCCCTGTCGCCCTCTGAGGACTGATTCTGATGGGCCCAGGGTTGTGGGAGGCTGCCAGGCTACCAGCTCAGAGGGCCGGGAGGGGCGGGGCTGGAAGGGGCGGGGAGGCACCTGGAGTCTGATGAAGGCCAGAGACCCTGTCCTAGGCTAGAGAAGGGTGCCTGTCAGTGGGTCAGCACCAGGAGCAGGGTGCAGGCAGGAGCTGGGAGGGGCTGTGCGGGGAACCTGTCGGGAGACCAGGGAGTCCACCCTGGAGCGACAGTCGCGGCTTTTTCTTTTCTATTTTTTTTTTTTAAAGATGTAGTTATTTGAAAGTCAGAGAGAGAGAGGAGGGAGAGACAAGCCCATCTCCTATCTGCTGATTCACTTCCCGAATGGTGGCAATGGCCCAACAGCCAGGGCTGAGCCAGGCCAAAGGCAGGAGCCTGGAACTCCATCCTGGTCTCCTCCGTGGGTGCAGGGGCCCAAGCACTTGGGCCGTCTTCCGCTGCCTTCCCAGGCTCAATGGCCAGGAGGTGGATAGGAAGTGGGGCAGCTGGGTCTACAACCAGCGTCCATATGGGGGTGCCGGAGCTGCTGGTTCACGGGCTGTGGCTTAACCTGCTGGCTTTGTCTATGTGCTAGGTCCTGCCTTCGGGGCTCCACACAGAGGACATCCCTACCCCCACAGAGGCCCCTTAGAGGAGGCACTTGTGTTACTACAACTCTATTAAGAACTCCTGGTCACTCTGGGCAGTCAGGGGTTAAATCCAAGCCCAACTCCAAAGCCCCTCTGTCAATAAATCCTGCAATAAACTGAGGATTGCAGAAGAGGAGGCCATTGTTCTGTGGCCATGGTAACAGGTGCCTACCTGAACCAGTTCCAAACCCCGCTAATGCCTGAATGACTAATCCCTGCTACAGCCCCGCCTTGGAACTCCAACCAATCAGCAACTGTCTCCAGTAACCCCACCTCCACGGCCAGGGGAGCCAATCCCTAACCAGTTGTGCTGGTAGCGGCCCACAAATCCCTGGAGCCCTGGCTTCCTCGGACCTGTGGCTTCCATGCCTAGGGCAGCGTTTCCTGCTGCTTTGCCTTCAGGCTGTTTGTGGGCTAGAGCTGTGCCCGGTCTGCCGGGCTCTGCCGGGCTCTGCCAGCTCGGTGCCGGTTCCACTTGGGTTGGCGGGAGCGTGGTCCTCTGCAGAAGCTCTGGGGCCACCTCCAGGTGACATCCTGGCCTCCAGAGCCACCCTCCTCAGGGAGCGCTCGGGCCCCCACTCACTGAGATGCTGCGACACCGCAGGTTAATCCCGGGGGCGGGGACGGCTCTGGGGGAGCAAACTGGGCCTTGGAGCCCTTCCCTTCTGTCGCCTGTGACGCAAGACTCCGAGGGACCAGGAGGCGAGCTCAGCTCTGAGCAGCCCAGCAGAAGGCCAGGGGACAGCTCTCGCCCTTCCTGGGTCTCTTGTCCCCCTCTTGCCGAGAACTGCCTAGCGGGGGCCGGATGAGAGGGCCTGAGGGGGCAGCTGGGGCATGGGAAGCTGATACTGCTTTACTCGCTATGCCAGACATTTTTAAACATCACCTCTAGGTTACTTATGACACTTCATATGACCCACATAGTTCCGATGCTGTCATGTTTAGGGAACAGTGACAAGGAAAAACGCCTGCACATGTTCGGGACGGGCGCAATCCGGTTTTTTCCAGGACACCAGCACTGTGGCACAGATTTGCCAGCATCCCATGCGGGTACCAGTGTGTGTCCCGGCTGCTCCACCTCCAATCCAGCTCCCTGCTAATGCACTGGGAAAGTGGCAGAGGATGGCCCGAGTATCTGGGCCCCTGCCACCCATGTGGGAGACCCAGATGAAGCTCCTGGCTCCTGGCTTTGGCCTGGCTCAGTCCTGGCCATTGTGGCCATCTGGGGGAGTGAACCAGCAGATGGAAGGTCCCCTCCCCCTTGTAACTCTTTCAAATAAATAAATAGGTCTTTAAAAAAATATTTCCTGGGGCTGGCGTTTGTGGCATAGCAGGTAAAGCCACTGCCTGCGGTGCTGGCATCCCATATGGGTGCCAGTTCAAGTCCCAGCTGCTCCTCTTCCAATCCAGCTCTCTGCTATGGCCTGGGAAAGCAGTGGACGATGGCCCACGTCCTTGGGCCCCTGCACCCGCGTGGGAGACCTGGAAGAAGCTCCTGGCTCCTGGCTTAGAATCAGTGTAGCTCCAGCCACTGCAGCCATTTGAGGAGTGAACCAACAGAAGGAAGACCTTTCTGTTTGTAACTCTACCTCTCAAATAAATAAAATCTTAAAAAAAAAAAAAAAAAAGGAAGGGGCTTCTGACATAGCTACACCATTCGAAGACATTGTGCTAAGTGACATCGGCCATGAAAAAGACAAATACTGCGGGATTCCCCTTTGGCAAGGTCCCTAAAGAAGTCAGTCACAGGAACAGAAAGTCAAATGAGGGCAGGCACTCGGCACAGAGGTCACGGTGCCACCCGGAGGCCTGCACCCTACACCGCTCACGTCCTGCTGGGAGTCCCGGCTCTGCTCCCAGTTCCGGCCTCCTGCTGATGCACACCTGGGAGGCAGCAGGGGATGGTTCGAGTACTCGGGTCCCTGCCTCCCATGTGCGAGCCCTGGAAGAGTCCTTGGCTGCTGTGTGGGCCTGGCCCAGCCCTGGCTGTCACAGGCACTGGGGCTACGAACCAGCGGACGGCAGCCACCTCTCTCTGTCACAGGAAGGGGCCCGGGGCGACAGTGAGCCAGGTGGGACAGGAAGGACACAGAAAACCTGGGCCAGCGAGACAGAAGCCCCACGGCCTGGAGGGACAGCTGACCCTGGGAAGGAGGAGCAAACGGTACCTCCTTGGCTTCAACGTTAACCCAGTTTAGGGCAGTTCAGAACGTTAAGATTCCGGGAAGCATCTGGCTGGCGAGGCAGCTGCTGCTGCTGCTGCGAGACCGGGTTCCTGGCGCTCCGCTGCATCTCCGAGCCTCAGCTCCGCGCCTCTACGCGGAGGGCCCACCGCAGCCGAGTCGGGAGGGGCCCTGCGTGGGCAGCAAACGCTGACATCACGACCCCCACGGAGCAAGTCTCCCCCCTGACAGAGAGGTGCAAATCCCACTGATGAGCCTCGAGCTGACACCCTCTCAGCTGTGACGGAGGCCAGGATGCGCACGGGGACGAAAAAGTAGAAGCAGCGGTTCCCGCACGTGGGGCCCCCTCCCCAGCGCCAGCTGTTCCAGCACGTGGGGCCCCCTCCCCAGCGCCAGCGGTTCCCGCACGTGGGGCCCCCTCCCCGGCGCCAGCGGTTCCCGCACGTGGGGCCCCCTCCCCGGCACCAGCGGTTCCCGCACGTGGGGCCCCCCTCCCCGGCGCCACCGGTTCCCGCACGTGGGGCCCCCTCCCCGGCACCACCGGTTCCCGCACGTGGGGCCCCCTCCCCGGCGCCAGCGGTTCCCGCACGTGGGGCCCCCTCCCCAGCGCCAGCGGTTCCCGCACGTGGGGCCCCCTCCCCAGCGCCAGCGGTTCCCGCACGTGGGGCCCCCACCCCAGCGCCAGCTGTTCCAGCACGTGGGGCCCCCTCCCCAGCGCCAGCGGTTCCCGCACGTGGGGCCCCCTCCCCGGGAGGTTCCCTGAGCGACCTCACCAGCCTCAAGGTCTGCTCCCAGGCCGCGCCAGCTCACCAGCGCACTGCGAGACTGGAGACGCCAGCCCGCGGCCCTGGCTCGCACCTCGGCTGCTCTGCTTCTGACCAGCTCCCCGCTGTCGTGCCTGGGAAGGCAGCAGATGGCTCCAGCACCTGGACCCCTGCCACCCACGTGGGAGACCTGGACGGAGTCCCTGGCGCCCTCCATCCCTCTTTTGGTCGCTCTGACCAAAGGAGAAAGGGGGAGAGCAGAGAGGACGGACGGACGGAAGTAAGTAAATCCTAACGAAAACAGAGCAGCAGGCCAAGCCCCAGCTGCAGTCTGGAAAGTCACTGCCTCTGCAGGCAGGATGCCTCGGCACTGTCTCGGCACGAGTAGGCAGCCGGGGCGCGCGGTGCCCGAGTCAGAGGGCGGCTGGCTGAGGAACGGGGCGACAGAAGAACCGCAGCTGCAGGCGTCGGGGCCAACAAGTCTCACGGATGGGCCCCAGGTGTGAGCACCGCGGACCTGCTTGGCCCTCGGCGGCTCCCAGCCTTGCAGGTGTGGCGGGCTCCTCGCATGGCGTCTTCCCAAACCCCCCCCCCCAGTCACCCTGGACACCACGCGTGGGTGCTGATTTCTTTATTGAGTAGACGCGAGGGCTTGTACAGAACGGTACAGAGATAATGCAAGTTTGTGCTTCAGTACTTCCAAACACGGAGATCCGGTAATGCCAGGTCAACAAGGCTCAAGACAGACCAGCTTTTCTAAAATATCCTTTTGATAAATTATTTTATATATATAAATAACAGAAAGGAAAGCCAACACGTTCGACGAACAAGGTCCTGAAGCGTGAGCATCGCGTGGTCTGGGGGGCAGGGACGGGCCAGCAGCGACGACGTAAGGAACGAACCGATGCGGGTACCTACAGTGCTGTCCCGAGGAGCAGGGGCTGCAGGGAGCGGGGAGCCGGCGGAGCCCTGAAAACTAACCTGGGGGGAGGGGACACAGCCGGCACCCGGGGCGGGCGGGCGGGCGGGGCGGCTGCACTAGCACACACCACGTTTGCAACGACAATCACGAGACACGGAGTGTCCACGGTCCGCGGGGTTAAAGGGCGGCTGGGGGCTGGGCCGGGGACGCTTCTGTGACTTCCACTGCCATTTTACTGCACAGCAGCAGAACGCGGCGAGCTCACACCGCGGGGCGGAGCTGCCGAGTCCCGCGGATGGCCGTCCTCCCGGCATTCCCTTCTTCAACTTTTGCTTTAGAGCGAAGTTTTGTACAGCTACGATTTTATACAGGGAATAAAATGATCGTTTTGTCTACAAGCACGAGGACACGCGACCGAGTACTCGGGGTACCTGAAACTGAGGACGCTCGACACAGCTGCCTGCTGAGCCGGTGCAGGGGCTGGGCAAGCCCAGTGGCCACCCTCAGGCCCAGCAAAGGGCCCTGTCGACAGCCTCAGCACCTGCCTCGCGCGCCTCCACGCCCGACTCTCCGTCCCTACCCAGGCTGACGCCACTCGGGGAAGGGGCGAGTGCGGTGACGCCAGGGAAGGGAGGGGGCTGGTCCGCACATTATGCCCAAGCGTTTCTCCCAGGGAGACCGAGATCTCTGGTGCAAGTCTGCTTTTTGCTTCTCTGGGCACCAGGACTTGGACTGCAGTGAGACTTCCCTCGTGCACACCTTGTGCACACGGGCCAGCAGGGGGCAGTGACAGGTTGTGGGCGACGGGATGCCAGCTGACACCCAGCCTGGCTGCCCGTGGAACCCTCAGCCCCACCCATAGCAGTGCCACTGGGGGCATAGCTGCCAGCGAAAGCGAAGAGGTCAGTGCCACCTCGGATGTTGCGAGGTGTCCCCAGAGGGCCACTTCCCAGCTGACCTGGATGAGAGCAGGCACCAGGGCCGGGAGGGGAACTGGAGTGCAGGCCGCAGACGAGTCCTCAGCAGGAACAGCCCGGTGGTTCTAACAACAACGCGAACAGCCCACACCAGTCTGTAAAACACCAAGCTGCTACCTTTCCAGACTCAAGCAATCTGCACGCGCCAAGCCGGGTTATGTACAAGGTCACGGCGTCACAGACCACGGGGAGGGGCCGTCCACTCATCCCGGCAGCCCGCGGACTTCTGCAGCGCGTCGCTGTCCTTTTAGGGTACATATAGAAGATACTCTTTAAAAAACACAATGCATGATTTTCTTTTGTTTCAAACAGAAGAGGGCATCATTAAACACAAGAACGCAGCGGCAACAGGGCCGGCCAGGGCGTGCAGAGCAGGGAGGCAACGGACAGGGGTCAGCAGAGTAACGGAGGAGGCGGGCGCGGGCCGCGGAGCACTGTGGGAGGGTCCTGTGGAGGAGGGCGGCTGAGCTCTTAACTGCTCACTTCTTCATCTGTTTTGTTGAGCTTCTTCAGGGTGTCCAGCAGCTTCTGTGGGGTGAGGATGTGCGTGGATCCTGGGAGGGGCAGAGGGCAGTGAGCCGCCGCTCCCCGCCCCCCGCCGCTCTCCACTCCCGCATCTGCACCAGGCCCCCTCCCCCACCCCGCCTGGGGCCCAGTGAAGCAAGGAGGGGGCTGGGGCTGGGAGGTCTGGGGCCCTCTGACGCTAGCCCTGGGAGACACATGGGGATTGTGGACAAACACCACACGTCCCCCGGCTCAGGCAGGGCCCCGGGGTGTACCAGGGAAGCAGCTGCCTCTCCACCAGGGCCCAGCGCCAGCTGCCAGGTGACGGGGTGGCTGCTTTCCCAGTTCTCTCTTGAACTCAAGGTAAAGCCAGGGAGAGAATTCCAAAAAAGGTGGTGGGGGCGGGGAAGGTGGAGCAGCGAGCCGGGTGGTGGGTGACTGAGTGCCTCAGGGAGGAAGTTAACCGGCAAAGCTCCTGGGGAATCCACTGAGCTCTGGGTGCTGCCCCGCGGGGGGACCTCAGGTGTGAGAGGGGAAGGGTGGGGACCTGAGGCCTTACCTTGCAGAGACCGCACATTGTAAGAGATTAGAAATGCTTGCAAAAATTCAAGCTAATGGAATTAGATATACTTCTACGGCAAAAAATTAAAAAAAAAATAGAAAACAAAAAGAAATGACGGTGTTTTTCCTAGGAAGAGAGGTCTAACAAGTGCAGTAAATAAAGATGCATGGATCGTGTGGTCTGGACATGGACGTCAACAGAACAGAAGAGGCGCGGTGGCGGGAGCATGAGGCCTGCACGCATGCAGCAGTGGGTTTCAAAGAAAGATCCTGGTGGAGAGAACTGAACAAAAGAGACCCGCACTTGAAAATGTGCCTCCCTGGAGCCCTGGGCAAGGAAAGGGCCTTCACGGGCTGGGGAGCAGCAACCCCTGGATGCCAGATTTCCCCTCCACGGGCAGGCAACAGAAGGCTGTGCCCGGCTTACTGGGCCCGATCCCAATACCAAGCCCCCATGCCTTTGCCCGCCGTCTGCTCAGCTGAGCCGGGACCGCAGGGCCTGCACGCCTTCTGGTCAGTCCAGACCAGCAGAAAGCTTGCAATACCCTCTCCAGTGTGAGGGGGGTCTTCCAGCACGCGTTCTCTCCAGTTTAAGCCCCAACCCTCACTCTCTGCTCCGAGAGGAGCCAGTCCGCGGCCAGCTCTTAGATGCTGAGCGCGAGCCCTGGGCACACATCCCGCCCGACCACAGTGCTCCCTGGTGGACTGGTTCCCTGGAGACCCGGCTCCTTAGGCAGCGGTGACGCGGCTTTGGGGAGTGTGTCCCTGGGCATTTTTGTTGTACTTCTTTTCCCTGAAGCACACTCACTTCGTGGCCAGACCAACCTTCCTTCTGGCCCTAAAGCAGGTCCAGGCCTGCCGCACACGCCAGGGAAAGGACAGCAACACTGCCAGTGCGCCCCACACTCTGGAGAGCCCCACAGCCAGAGGGCTGCGAGTCTCAACCCGATGTGCCGGTGTGGGGACACCGGGAGGTGTCCACGGCACGCCGCTCAGCCCTGCTGTCCTGGCTACAGGCAGGAAGCAGCCCCGGCTGCTCAGCTCTCCAACTCTGCGTGGAGTCCCAGGAAACAGGAGGCGGACTGGATCTCAAGCAAAACTCCGGAGGGCTCTGGTCAGCAGCCGGCCCTGCCTCCCTCACAGGCAGATTCAGGATTCAGAGGAGGCTACAAAGAGGTCAGGGAGGCCGGCGCTGTGGCGCAGCAGGTAAAGCTGCTGCCTGCAGTGCCGGCATCCCACATGGGCGTTGGTTCGAGTCCCGGGTGCTCCACTTCCGATCTAGCTCTCTGCTATGGCCCAAATCCTTAGGCCCCTGCACCCACATCGGAGACTTGGAAGAAGCTCCTGGCTCCTGGTTTCAGATCAGCACAGCTCCGGCCGTTATGGCCATTTGGGGGGTGAAGCAGTGGGTGGAAGACACCCCGGCCCTGCAGCCTCCCCTCCTCTCTCTGTGTAACCCTTTCAAATCCTCTGACTCAGCAACAGGCGCATCCCTGGCCTCCAATCACCCAGGCTCTTGAAGGGGCAGACCAGTCAGAATTAACCCAAATGCTGGAGGCCTTTCACGCGTACTGCACTACGTGGGTCCAACTTCTCACCATGAACCTTGGGACCTGGACGGGCTGAGCCTATGGTCCACATTTTGCAAACGTTCTCATGTTGAACCTACAGGTGGCTGACCACGGCAGCCTTCCAGAAAGAGCAGGCGATGTGTTCTATGCTCCGAGGGTCCCTGGTATTCCACAAAACTAGAAGACTATGAAACATGGGGCCTATCCAAATGGCCACGTGTTTTCAAAGCTGCACAGCCTCTGCCAGGGCACAGTCCTTCCTTCTGCGCTGCCGGAATCTGCGAGAGTTCTAAAGACCAGCTGGACCAGCACCCCGGAATCTGGCCTACTGCTCAGACACCGCGCACGGGCGACAGCAGCCCAGGCAGCCGCGGAATGAAGGCCAGAGTGTGAGGGCGGAGTGCTCAGGGCAGGCTGGAGACAGGCAGGCCCAGAGCTGGGTCCCTGTTCTGGGCACCTCCTGGGGAACGTGCTAGTGACACCCGCACAGTCAGCTCTGGATTCGGATTCAAGTCTGAGTGCCGCTGAGAACTGACCCTACTCTGGAATAAAACAGACAAAAACTCTCACGAACTGTGCATTAATAAACAGGCCTCGTCCAGCCTCTCTGTTCCCCATTCGCTTCCGGCAGCCTCTGGGACATTCCCAGTCAGATCTCCCTTCTTAGCAGACTTGGAGGGAAGCTTGGCAGGGCCTGCTCACCACACCGTTCACCTCGGCCCAGGCGCGTGGGGGCCGGAGGACAGGGTGGGCCCTGTCACTGCACGGTGGCTGTGGGGACTCATTCACGCTGGGCAGGAAGACTCCTCTCTTGTGGCATGTTTAGGAGGCAGCTCAGGCTCTCTGCCCTGCCTGGGACTCTGGTCACTGAAAGGGCCACGCGAGGCTGTCACGTGCTCCCTGACCTCCCTGGCGCGAGGGCTCTGCTGCTAACTGAATTCTAAAATCCAACACCCCCATTTTATCTCAGGAGCCAAGAACACACAGTTGCCTCCATCCGTGCTCTCTCGTTCCGCTGGCCGCTGAGCCCTTCTCTCTCTGATCAGAAACGAAGCTCAGCACAGACTTCTGGTGAGGCTGTTCCATGAGCACCGGCCAGAGCAGGGCCTCTCGGGGTTTGGTCTGTGATTCTTTCAGACCTCCTAAGTGATCTGCTGTTATCTGTCCTTCTCAAAGTCTTAAACTACAACAGTACCTAAAAAAGTGCATGGGAAATGGAATGACAAGAGATTTACGCTGGCACAAAAGCTGTTCAGTCTATGCACACAGGGCTTTTCAAAGCATTCGTGTAAAGGGGCCGTGGCTGCAGTGCGGTGGGTTAAGCCTCTGCTTCACGCTGCATTCCGCGCCAGAGCGCTAGTTCAAGTTCCTGCTGATGTGCCTGTGAAGGCCACGGAAGATGGCCCAGTACTTGGGTCCCTGCTCTCCGTGGAGGAGACCGAGGGGGAGCTCCTGGCTCCCGGCTTTGGCCTGACCCTCCCTCGACTGAGCCAGCAGATGGGAGATACTTTTCTCTCTTGGTCTCTCCCTCTCTGTCATTCTGTGATTCAAATAAATAATTAAATCTTTTCAGGAATTCATGGAAAATGTGTATTATGAAAATGCTGCGTGTGGACTTCAACAACTTTTTGTGCCCTGACTCTTAGGGCTGCCATCACTGCACAGCGGGCCGAGCTGCCTGTGACGCCAGCACCCCTCACTGAAGCGCTGGTTTGAGTCCCGGCTGCTCTGCTTCTGAGCCAGCTCCCTGCTGATGTGCCTGGAAGGCAGTGGACGAGGACCCGAGTGCTTGGGTCCCCGAAACCCGTGTGGGAGCCCCAGATGGAGTTCCTGGCACCTAGCTTTGGCCTGGCCCAGCCCCAGCTGTTGCAGCCATCTAGAAAATGAATCAGCAAATGCAAGATCTCTGTCTCTGTCCCCCCCACCTATTTTTTTTTTTTAAGAAAAAAAAAAGAATAAACTCACTTTTAAACTCCGTTTTGCACAAACATTTTGAAGTCCCCTTGCACCTGGCAGCAAAGGCCGCCTACCACCCTGACAGGTGCACAAGGACCCCGATGCCTGCGACTGCCAACAGACCAAGATGCTTTTAAGGAATGCTTGTCTATTTTTTGAAAGATTTATTTACTTATTTGAAAGGCAGAGTGACGGAGAAAGAGAAACAGAGACACACACAGAGAAAGACTGATCTTCCATCTGCTGGATTACTCCCCAGATGGCCTTAAGAACTAGGGCTGGCCCGGCCACAGCCAGGAGCCTGGAACTCCATCCAGGTCTTGCACTTCGGTGTGGGACCATCTTTCACTGCATTCTCAGGTGCATTGGCAGGGAGCTGGATTGGAAGTGGAGCAGCCGGGACTCAAGCCAGCACCCATGTGGGCTGCCCACCTGTTGGCCTCGCCTTCTACAGGGAGCTGAGGCCTGGGTGTGTAGAGCCAGCCCCTATCCTGTCTCACCACGCCCTGGAGCATGCCTCCACTGCCGAGAGTGAACAGAGCAGGAGATAAACAGGGTAGCCTGGTGTTGCAGAGTGCGGATGGAGCACTACCCTCCTTATATAAGCAAGCAAGCTTCCCACGGCCACTGCCCTGGGGTTCACCAGAAAGTGAGAGTGCTAGCACTGCACGGTCTGAGGCGCAATGGGAATCACTGTCTGAGCTCCAAGGAGCCCCGGGACCCCGCGATTCAGGGTCTTGTCAGCTATGGCCCAGAGCCGGGCCCCGCGGTCACACAGGTGCTCACAGAGGGGCAAGGCTGAAGTCCGGGTCTCTCCACACTGCTTACAGGAGACGCGTGCTCCGTGATTCACTGGGCCACGTGTGTGCGCAGGAAGACGGGGCACTTGTAGGCCCATCGTCCACAGTGCACTCCCAGTCTGGCACACAAAGTGGCCTCATCCCAGCCGCAGACGGACTCAGGCTGTGAGGGGTGCTTCGGCAGCACCAGCCGCTCACACACCTCTCGGGAGGTCCCCGGACACGGGAGGGATGGAAAAGGAGAGGCAGGAAGAGGAGGATTCTCAAGGACAGTACGGAGTCCACCAGACAGACAGCAGGGCTGGCTGACACGCTCGGTGGGGAGCCACACAGGGGTATGCGCAGGTTTGTCCTGGGCCTTCCGGCCTCGCCAAGAGGGAGAGGGCTGTGCCAGCCACGGAAGAACTGCAATGAGGGCCGTGACTGGAAGAGCAGAGCCCTGCTGGCTGTGTCTTCTGCACGGAGGCACGAGGAGGCGCCTTCCCTCTGAGACGGCAGCTCCCCAGTCCCCGGTGCTCTGTGACCCAGTCAACCCCTCGGGGTTCGTCCCTCAGAAAGTTCCAGCCCCAGGAAAAGGTGCTCACACCTCCGACCCCCCCGCTCTTCCTGTCACCCCCCAGGATCAGGGTCCAAGGGCACCTCCCCTGAAGCCTGCCTCCTTGCACGTGGCCTTCCCCGGACTGTCTGCTGGCCTCACTCTGAAGCTCCTGCACCACACCACAGCCAGGATGCCCCACATACTCTGTGGGTGCCCACAAATGCACCCTGAGCCAGCAGGCGTGGGCACCGTGCCCCAAGCACCCCTCAACTCGCAGCTCCCTCTCTGAGTGGCGTGTAGCCCAAGGCAGGAGCCTGGCGGGTTTAGGGCAGGGTTATGAAGGCAGCCTTGGACACATTTTCAATCGGTGTTAAGAACTGCAAGCATTTTCTTGTTAAAAGAAAATCAAATAAATCATAAACTCAAAAGGGAAAAAGAAAGAAAAAGAGTGACGGAATAATCAAAGAAAACCCTTCGGAGTGGAAGAGTTTCTTTTCTGTAATAAGCTGCTTTTACTTTGTTTCTTTGGCTCTCACTCCATTGTTGGAGCCTGATCCTCAAAAGATACCCTAGAGGACTCCCTGAAGTCGGGGTGTCTCAGGTCCATGAGAAATTTGGTGGGAGTAAGAATGTGAGTAGAACCTGCGGGAGAACAGAGGCCAGCTGACTGCTTGAACACAGGTGCGTTACAGGAGCATGCCAACTTAGGTCTATAGGGCGTGCAGCCGATGGGGCACGAGGAAGCAAAGGTACACGCTCTCACGCACACGCACACACGTGCGCACACGCACACAGGCAGCAAGGCGGCTGGCATGCATGAAGCAGGTGAGGCCACACGGCGGGCATCAGCTGTCTGCGCGAGGCCCCTCCATGAACCTGCCGGGCCCCTTTCTATCCCAGGTCTCCACCTCCCGATGGGCAGCCTCGAATCAGGCCCCAGGGAAGAGGAAGGTTTACGCCTGGAGCCCGGCTGCGCCAGCCTCTGTCCAGGGAAGCTGCGTTTGAGCTCAGAGGGCCTCTGCACGTTCATGCAGCGCAGATGCAGGCCAGGGACAAAGAGCTTTGCCACTGGGGCCCATCAACACAAAGGCAAAGGCGGTACAGGGAGGGCTGGCGACCAGACAAGGGCAGCTGAGGGAGCGTGGGGGAGGTGTGTGGTCTCCCAGCGGACCCCGGGACTGAGAAGGCAGCTGGCAGCCCCAGGGCCAGCTTGGTGAACCCTGGCGCGGCGATATGGACTGGCCCACAGAGCTCGCCCACTCGGATGGCGACTTGACTCCTCTGGATTAGAGGTATAAAACTGACCTGTCATAGAGATAGTAACTGAGCCAGGAGCTATGACTGGTAGTGGGCTTTTGGAGCAGGGTGTCAGAGAGGCCTCCCCGGCAGGGGTAGCTCATATATAAATGGCTGAGGAGCCTATCTGTCCTTAGGCCCTGGGCAGGGTGCAGCTCACACCCCTTTCCAAATGCAGCCTAAGAACCCTGGCCTCACACCTTACACAGTGTGAGTGTGTTCCCCGAGGGCAGAGCCCCGGGCCCTGAGAGCCTCCCGCCAAGCAGTGTCAAAAGGGCCCAGGGGAAGATGGGACAAAGGGGCAGGCATCCGGAGAAGGCAGGCCTCTCAGCTCTCCTACAGCCCTGAGGCAGAAGCGAGGGAACCTCCTGCTGCGCTAACCGGCTCCCATCAGTGGCTTCCCCTCTTCTGGAAAACCAATGGGAAACACCAGCAAGGGTGGCGCGTTGGGGGAACCCTTAACAGAGTCCAGCAGTGAGGCTGACGGCGTTCTGGCATTAGCCACCCACACACCATCCGTCCATCCCGGATGACAAGAGGACGGGAGCAATGATTTCCCATCATCCACTGGGCCTCTCCTAGGCCTGAGGCCCCAGGCCAGGAAACGGGCAAATCTGATCCAGGCCTGGTCCAGGCTCTTAGTGGACAACTCCATTTTGTTCAGTGAAGAAATGGTGGCCCGGACAGGCCGAGTCACCTGCTCACGGTGGCCCCACCTGGCAACAGCAGAGCATACATTGAGCCACAGTCTGTTGGACTCTATCACCAGGCCCCGCCCACCTCATGACGCTGCCTCCCAGCCAGAGATGAGAGACACCCTTCTCACCGCACGCCTTTGCGGGAGTACGTGTTGCCGGGGCGGTGGGGAGCTGACCGACTGCGACACTGAAGCGTGGAATGCAGTGAAGTGCGGGGAGGCGGCTCCTTCCTCTGGAAGTGCGGCCCTACTCACCTATCAGCACCTCCCACTTCCCGCTGGCTTGGGTCACCTCGTAAGCACAGCGCATCTCGTTCAGGCTCACGCCCCCAAGGATGAAAATAATGAGGCGGGGGCCACTGCGGTACTCCCCAGGGGCCTTATTCTTGTGCCAATGTCCATAGCGGGCACTGGAGAGGGACACGGAAATGTCGTGGAGGAAGCTGACAGATAGAGGGAGGGGGAGAGAGGGAAGGGGAGAGAAGGAGGGAGGGAGAGAGGGAGAAAGGGAGAGAGAAAGAGA